AGTAATTACAAATTAGAAGATGATCTTATCTCTCATCAAGTTCATTGTTTATCCTCTGAATGAGAAGAGCGCACACATTAAAAACATTACTCGACGAGCAAAAAAATCAGGCGTTCCCTCTGCGCTTGAAGTATTAAAGACGCTCTCTCTCTCTCTCTCTTTCTCTCTCTCTCTTTCCATGCTCTGAATAGTTAGTTTTATTATGCTATGCTCTTGACGCTCCGCCCATGCTCCTTAAGCGTTAGAAGCAACAGAAACTGCACGTCGTTTTTCAACAATTCCCTTGTTTTCCATAAATTTTTTGAAGTCGCAGCCATTGCCGTTTACTTTCTTCGAATAAAATTAATTATTCTCTTAACCTTATACGGTGTTTCAGATGAAAGCATTGTTTGTCCCTCCGTGATATCTCAAAATGAATTTCCTTTTCATAATTCATAACATTATGGTTTACACACTAGCCGATCCTCGTCATTCTGCAGAGAAGAACTACTTCGAGCCTTTGGTGTTTGAGACGAATGCATTGTCAGATTATACCCAATCGTCTTCAACCGAACCTCCTATAACTAAAGATATCTCGGAAATGAATGAGATAACAGACACCGAACTTCCAACAACTATTGCTTCAAGTACAGCAACACCTTCAATGACTTCTCCTATCAACTCCATCGTCTCCAAAACAAGCCGAGAAGTTGATAATGCTGTTGCTGAGATTTCATCTTCTATTTCCTCCAAAGAAATGAATGAAACGAATGATCCGGAAAACTCACACATCGCCAGCGAACAAACATCTTCCTTCCAGTCAGCAAAGATTCCTATATTGAGCAGGTTGGTATATGTTTCCTTGTTCTTAAACCTCAAAGCATCATTCACAGTTCTATAACGATAAGGGAGAATTCAAATGTAGCTTTTGGCAATTCAAAATCGATACGAATAGACGAGGATCGTCTCAAATATGCTTTGAATGCCAGTAAGTATATTAAGCGTCACGAAAAGCATTCATATTTTGAATTTCGCAGAAAATTTGGCAGACGGAACCGAAGAACGGCTTTATCGAACTCTTCTGAATCCAGAAAGATATGAAATGGATGTTAGGCCAACAACCCATCATAGTCTTCCGACAAATGTCACATTCGGCTTTCTACTAAATCAGATAGTGGAAATGGTTAGAACTATTCTCAAAAGTGTATACGTTCTCAGACGTTGTTTTTTTCAAACAACTCACGGAGCTCATACTTGATTTTCTTGTGAAAGAACACATCGGGAATGCGGCTTTGTTTTCTCTTCACATAGTTCCCTTGAGATCAATTGCTATCAGACTAAATGCTTTATATCTGAATATTCGCTTTCAACTCAACGAAACACTTCCAGGATGAGCGAAATCAAGTTTTGACAACGAGGAGTTGGTTGAATATCAATTGGATGGATCAACGATTAGTTTGGAATTATACTCATTGGGGAGGAATCAAATCGATATACGTTCCTCACCAGAAGCTTTGGAAGCCAGATATCATTTTAGTTAACAAGTGAGTTAAAGCTAACCTTCGAAGGAAACAAAAGTCCACCCCTCTGCTTGCTGCTTAATCAGTTTGTCAAATTCCGAATTGGGAGAGATGAACTTTGAGTTCTTAAATCTCAAAAACTTGAACTTATGAATTTACGAGAAAATCTTTTCACTTTCAATTTGAATGAATTCACGTTCCTACAGCGTTTGTTTCTCTCTTCAAGTTGTCTGCTCAGCTTCAACGAAGGCCAGATTGGCTGATTAGATTTTCCTTCGGAAGTGGAGAATTCTTTCGACGTATACACATTTTCTCCATATATGAACTGATTGATTCAGTTCAGTTTATTTGTAACAAGCCATAACATCTCCTTGTCATTCCGAAATAAGTATAGAAGTGTGTGAAGATCGGGGATATTCTCCGGAAAAGCGAACAAAAAACATATTTCAAGCATTGATTCAGTGCCATACGGGAATATCACGATGCCTTAGTATCGACAGATGTTATGGTGACTTCAGATGGGAATGTCACTTGGCTCTTCTCTGCGTTGTTTAGAAGCTCATGTCCCATACGTGTACGTTACTACCCTTTTGATGATCAGGTACAATTAAGAGACTTAATCAATAATATGCTCAACCTATAAGGAATGTCATTTGAAATTTGCTTCTTGGTCTCATGATAGGTCAGAGATAGACCTAGGATTGAACACAGACAAGGGAGATCTTTCTAGTTATATGAATAACAGTGAGTTTGATCTCCTTGACATGACTGCTAGACGAGAGGTATGGATTGTCATAACTGAAGTTCTTCATGAGTATTCGCAGGTCGTCAATTTCCCATCCAATGCTGAGAATGAGTGGCCCATCATAGTAATACGAATTCAAATGCATAGACGTCCTTTGTTCTATGTATTCAATCACGTGAGTTCATCAACGTGATACTAGCATCAATGATATCTTTGAAATACAGATAGTACCGTGCGTGTTGATCAGTTCCATGGCCGTTTTAGGATTCTTGATGCCACCCGAAACGGGGGAGAAGATAAACATGATAATCACTACTTTGCTCTCTATGGGTGTCTATTTACAATCAATCAATGAATCTATCCCACCCACATCAGAAGCCGTTCCTCTGATTGGTAAGAAGAAGAAGAAGAAAAATGATTAACGTACTTGAACAGGAATGTATTATGTGTCTTCTCTGTTCATGGTCTGTCTAGCCACTTGTGTCAATGTGATTACCCTGAATATGCATCGATACGGAGCTGCAAATCAGGGTTTTTATTAAATGATTCTATTGATACTATAACAAACTTTTTAAGGAAGACATGTGCCATATTGGATGGAAAAATATATTCTCGGCTATTTGGCGACCTTGATGAGAATTCCTATTCGTGAGCCAGATAGTATTGCCCTTCTGAAAACAGCTCAAGTTATAACTCATTTCTATTGTTATGAACCAACCATTAATTATTCAGAGCAAGAAATCAACCTTGCGCAGAAGCTCTATTCTAAGAGATTTGAAAAGAATCAAGAATTTAGAAAATCGGAAGGGAAGAGATCCCTCCGATAGGTCTATAGAATGTGAATGCATGAGTGTCACGGTTAGTATTAAGCAACCAGCGTGTAATTCAGATCTCTTTTCAGGACTCTATTGCCAGTGAAATAGGTCTGATGGCTCTAACTAACAATCAGCTGATAAACGGGGGCATAAAAAGCGAAATCGCAAGTGAAAGTGCTTTCATAGGTAGGATTGTATCGGAACAGGTAAGATCGACTGAGTAACAAACTCAATCAATCTCATCTTATCAAGATAATGCCAAGAATGAGCTCAAGTAGACCTATCATGCTCACAGAATTCGAGAATCGCTTTCGAAGAATTCTGAAGAGGATCTATCGAAGTCTTCAGCAGCACGAGATCCGAGAAGAAGTAGCAAGTTTTTTAAACTTGGGAATCAAGCAATGCTTTCAGATCTTGGACGAGCGACAAAGGATCCAATGGCAGTGGCAACAACTAGCTTCGGTAGTCGACAGACTGTTGCTTTTTTTGTTCCTCATGGCTACCTTATTCACCATTTCATTCTTCCTCATAATCCCTGTGGTCTTTCAAATGGACCAAAATCTACTTTTTGATATTTGATGGAAGCCCAAATGCATACGAGTAAAAACATACGTAGTGATGAATGTAGAAGATAATCTCTAAGCTTATTCTATCTTCTTTGCTCTTCAATGAAAAGCTCATTAGCACATTCCGTACGTGGAAACCTGAAGTTCAAGCAATGAGGGAAAGCCCTTCAGATATCCTGCAAATAAAAAAAATGGTTTTATTATTTTACTGAAAGAATATCAAACAGATTATAAATCATTCAATGCATTATCGTATTGTACAGTGGGACTTTGTCATTCAATTTGAGAAACTCTTCCTGTTGTCTCTTAGCAGCCCAGATGGATCCGAATACAAAGCCTAAGGCAGTGAAGCCCATATATGTCATTACATCCCAGACATAGCTTCCAAAGGATTTACTTCTTGCAATGTCCGTATCTAAGACTGTATTACCGTCTTTATCTAATACCACATACTGAAAAGGTAACCCTTAACCTAATCAGAAACAATATGAACAACCTCAGCAGCTCTTGGTAGTATATCCCTCAACTTCGTCCCTTCGTTGATCTTTTTTTCGACTTGCTGTTTGACACTTCCTGCTTTCGACACAAAAGCATCGAAGTTCTTTACCTCTGCGGTCCAATAATCATAGACGGCTCTACAAACTAAGTCTCAAATCAAGGAAGAACACGGTTCACAGACTTTTCGAAAAACATTTTATTGCTCGGCGTAAGTCCTCCAGTCAGATTCACGTTCAAGTTGTAATAGTTCCTTACGTGAGGATTGAACGCTTTCCACTCTTAAGAATCTAGTAAAGCTCTCTTACAAGTTTTGACTAAACCTTGATTGGGCTTGCCATTCTTGATGAAATCGATCCACAAGTCTGGAATTAGTTTTGCTAAAACGGCTTCATTCTCATCCGGCTGGAACGCATGGACACCCATAAGATATGACAAATAGTCCACATGGTATGGATGTGTAGGGTTTGTATACGAATACAAGAAGACCTAAAAGAACTTTTCAATGAAGTCTGATACTAATCCCTGACATTTGCTCCGGCCTCTGTCTGCTTCGTTGCAGCGCTAAGAATAGATAAGAACATTGCTTGTGTTTCAATGGAATGATAGAAATCTTCAATTCAGCACTTGTCAGAGTGTTATTATTCAATTCATTACCTAAGCGGCCATGAATAACGTCAGAATCGTATTTTTTTCCGATGTCAATTGCATTTGCATAATGCATTTCATGAGCCATATAAGCAGCAGCAAGAACCTCATGGGATGGGATGGTTCTGTCCATTTCACGAGAAGTAGAACCTATCAGTAGTTTGTCAACAGCCTGAAAAAGCATACAATTTCTTATATCCACATGTTTATACCGGAGCATCAGTCAGAAACTCGTCCATGTTATGCCCCGGGAAGAGAGCTCCTCCGAATGATAAGCCTTGCAATTTCATACCATTCTCTTCCACTGTTCGTTGAGCTCTAAGGTTAGCATTATAAGGGATCAACTTGGTTAGTGAACCTCAGTATTTCTTGCCATTCCATGTTCTTCAAACAGTTCACAAGTTCAGAAGCAACTTGTTTCTTGTTCAGAACTGCGATTGTCGTGTTTTGAGGCAGACACTAAAACGAACTGCAGTTGAGCACATGAACCATAACAAAAAACGAACCCCAGTTTCTTTAGCGAATGCCAAAGTGATGTATTCATAAGTGCTCTTCTTGTCGAGGTAAATATCTCCGGACATTGCAATGGCTTTCTGGAACAACCTGAAAACAAAACGTTTTTAATGAATACAAATAAGAGGACTACTTCCGTTGGGGATCAATGGTCTTCGAGAACGAGATAGCCAAAATGGTTCCAGCACCCATGGAGTGTCCCAATAAAGTCACATCACTTTTGTTTCCACCAAAATAATGGATATCATTCTGCACCCATTCTAGGGCATGGATTAAGTCTGAATAGTATTTCTCATTCACGTGCTCTCAAATAGTCACTCAACCATACACTGCCAAGTTTGACGGAACGATTTCTTCTTGTACGCCTAGGAGACCTAAGAACCCAAGACGGAAGGCAGATAAAACCAAAACAACATCTGAATAAAAATTAAGTTGGAAGCTGAAGTATTACATGATGACCTTTTGAAGCAAAGTTTTTGAAGAGATATTCGTCATCGAACATTACAGGAGAATCGAAGTTCATGCCTCCACCATGGATGTAGAAAACAACCGAGCAATTTCTGCTCATCTGAACCGAACTTCGTTAACTCATTCTTCAATTAATGATAGCATTACCAAACATGACTTCGATGTGAATACATTGACATGCAAGCAATCTTCATCAATCCAATCTGGATGGTAGGAGCTTGTTGTGCTATTTTGTGGGCACGCTGGGCCATATTCTACAAAAAGCAAATGATAGCTTTGAGTGATAACAAGAAAAACTGACTTGTAGCATCCAAAATGCCGTCCCAACTATTCGGTTTCACTGGTTTTGCAAAACGCAAAGAGCCAATTGGTGGTTGGGCAAAAGGAATTTTCTGAAAAAAGACAGAAACAGTCTACAAGCTACAATCACCGAACGTGTTATCGCATTTGCCTATTAATTTTGATTAAACAAAGATGTAAATTAATAAGGGCAAATAGAGCTTCGGGGAAACCCCCAAACAATCGGAGAAGACTTACTTTGAAAGAGTAGAGATCAGCGTCATGTTGACGTAGTTGATTTCCATTTACTTTACCTCCTGAGGTTTCGAGAACAATCGATAACGCACCATCAATCAATAGTGTGCCAAAGATCAATAAGCACAGAGAGAGATTTGAAAACATCATATAAACAGTATGAAGTAATGATCAGCTAATGGAACATTTAAGCGTTGTTTTTGAGGATTTGAGGACGCCACCTAATTCAGCAGGATGATGACTGAATGATAAAGCAGCCTACATGATAAGAGGTTATCACTTTGTGTTGTTTATTTCTGGTCTTAGTGAGCTATGGACATACTGGATAATAAACTTTATTACATGTTTAAAACAAAAATAGAATTTGAATTTCATCAATGAAACGATTGTTTCCGGAACCGGGCAGACAGATTGCGAGTTTAAGGTCAAAAAAAACAAAAAAAAGGACAAAAACGAAAATGTAGTTAGAAGCTCATGAGCAATCCATCTCATGCTCTGCAGATGGGACTACGTGAAGATCTCTTAAAATACAGGTATAGCGTCGTTTGCGATCGATGACAATGTCTGCATGATCTGTAATGTATGAACGATTATTAAACAGAACAAAGAGATGTAAACATTTCACTCGCAACGGCACGTGTCACGTGGCACGTGAGACTAGAATACGTGAGATATCTATATCCATTCTATCAGCAGCTTTCATATAGAACGGTTGGTTGTCTAATGGTCTCCGGAGACAAAGTGGAAGAGGCTTGATTAGATATGAAGAGGAAGAAGTAGGTATTGTCTGATGCTTTATTCATTTAGTGCTACAATAAAAATATTTTCGATAACACATGCGAAATTACTATAAAATATGAATTAAAAAATAAAATGGTTTTTTATTGTAACAATCATTTCCTATAAATCAGACAACACCTTTCTCGGAGAAATACTTACAGAAAAAACGGTCATATAGCACAATAATACGAAAATCAGCAAGCATAATGAACACTGAACCCGTCCAACGAACGCCATATTTTATTTCAAAAATTAAGGAAATTAAAATATTATAAAAATTATATTTCAAGCATAACAAAAAGAAGAAAGGCTTAGGTTTAGTTTAGAATTAACACAGAACTATATTTTTATGGTTGTTTAAAGCCAACCTCTACAAGTGGACTCCTTGCATTCACAGCCCCCAGACCCTCTAGGTAAATCACCTGGTGAATAGTCGGGGTGATAATCAAATGTTATTTCCTCTCCTAAATCATGCGTCAGATCTATCTGCTTAACTATACTACTTACCAATTTTTATATCTCGCAAGGCAAACACAGCAACCTTATGAATGGCTTGATTCAAGCCGTACACACGGACAACAAGTGAGTTGGGTTTGCAACTGTGCGAGAAGAACCGCGACTCGTTTCTGAAAATCAGAATAGTTACTAGCGTTCTCTGGAGAGCTTCTTACCCATACGGTAATGCATCTACATACCAAAATTTTCCAATTTCAAATTGGTAACTAGTATCTCTCCGATTGGCTTCCTTAGCAGTAACAACCTAAATATGGCTCTCATGTTAGTGTCAATAGCCCAGACAACCAACCTCTCCAACATACTCAGCTATGAATTGGCCCATTTTGATATCTTGCGAAGCCCTGACGGTCCAGCCTTTTTTAGGCTCGTAAAATACAACTAAAGCAACCTTTCTACCTCTCTGCAACGAAATTATATGAATGAAGAAGTTGTATGTTCATCCCTTACAGTTAATAAACGATATTCACATTTCTTACATGTACATTGTTTGTATCCGTCGCATTCATAAGTCCAGAAGTAACTTCCTTTTACGTGCTTCGGAATTTTTAAAAGGCCATTTTCAATGGGACAAAATACAGAATATTCTTCCTCCGCCTGAACATCAAAGTAAGAAAACTTCTAAAGCTATAACTCTCTTACTCTTGCAGAACAGTTGTGACATGGCTGAACACAAACGCAACATGAGCAAAGATCCTTCACTGCCTTGTATCTCATTTTTTTGGCAGAATCAGACCACCTACTAGAACCAACAATAAAAGTGAACTTAGGCAATGAAGCGAACGCCGAAGGATGCCAGCCTTCTACATATAACGGAGCTATCTTCCGACGCCTCTGAACATTCATAAGATGGTAACAGATGTATGTGACTATATGTACCTTATCATAATAATTACGAATTACATCATTCCATTGAACTTCTAATTGTTTAATTCTCCAATACCCGTGTTTTGAAGTGTTAGCTAATGCCTAGAACCCGATACTAGTAAGAACAGAGAAAAGGGATGGACGGCACAAACCATAAATTGATCATCCGGAATGTTGCTCTGACCGGGAGGCAAAAAGTCAGGAATGTCCATAGGCGTGAACAACATTTCTATGGGTTTATCATATCTGAGAAGGTTCTAGTGAGTTAACGAGATATACCAAGCAAGACACACCTTGAACCATGACTACGAAGATTCCTCATAATAGCTTTGAGCGCTACTTCTTTATCTTCTAAATTTTTGAGTTCATCAGGACACCCATCTAAGTCACCACGCGACTGCATAGTGCAGAACGTGTAGTTATAGTTTTTCCAATAAACAATGAAAGCTTCCTCCCCTTGCTGAAATGAAAAGGTGAATGAAAAGAATCAAGTGTTTTTGAATTACTGCATTAACAGTTCGTTTCATCACCCTCCAAACTTCATACTCATCGTTACCATATTCTTCGTCATCTTTCTCGTCGTTGTTAGAATCGTCTTGCATCTTAAACGAAAAACAGTAAGTATCATGATGAGAGCTTCACACAAACCTCATTGTCGTTATCGTTCTGCTGCTCATTATTACTTTCATCTCCCAAACTATCTGAAGAACTGGAGCTAGCGACTGCCTTTTCGTTCACAACGATTTCAGGGGTGGTAGTGCTAACAACATCCGTCTCCGTTGATAGATCTTTTACAGACTTATTAGATATATCCGATTGAGAGGTATTATTATGATTCTTTACAATATCCCTTGTTCTGACAAGCACCATGGATCTATCTGTAGACTCAGTAGAGCTGGAGGTTTCAACTAAGTTTCCGTCACTGTTACTGATTACGGAGCTATTGTCATTCCTAGTATGAGAAGATTCCTCGAAATCCATATCATCTTCGTCGGTTTGCATGGAATCCGTAGGCGTACACGATCGAGGAACTCTCTTTGATATGTTTCCGTGAATGGTGGGCTCAGTTTCCATAAAATTCTGAAAAAGAACTCCTTCATGAATTTAAAAACTCTTTTTCGCACTTCAGTATCAGAAGGATTCCAATAAGGTTTTTCTTTCAATCTCTCGTCTTGCTAAACAAGTAATTAAGGTTCTTTCTTCTTGATTTCTCTTACAGATAATGATAATGTTTTAGAAGCTCTTTCACTACTATCGTTCTTGAACTCAGCAGATAAACGATATGATCGATGAAGCTTTGGAGATACCTAAATCTCCAAGTATGGTCATAGAAAGAAACAAGCAAGAAATGTAAACAAGGGATGGATTACTGCTTCGACGATCGTTCTATATGAATTATGAGAAAGGCAACTTACACTTTTCCGAGTTGGAGTGAAGAAGTCCTCGAGCTTCTGGAAATTATTGAGTTAATTATAGTCAGGATGGGTCGTCTCCGATTTCACTCAAACAACTAACACTAACTTCATCAGTAGCTTTGCGTTTTGGGATAAATGTTTTGGGTCTTTTGACTTTTGATCGTTGTTTATTTTGATAAAGAACCATTCTAACAGTTCGCCGCTAATAAAGTAAAATTTCCAGACAAACTAGCCGTTGGAGGAAAAGAACATGAAACTCCACTTACTCTCTTTCTTGTCGTCCGAGGAGGGCTTGTTGGTCTTTGGCACAAACTGGATGATACATTCAGCATCTTATAGTGGTCGATCATATATACATCTAACTGAAACAAAAAAGAATTTAAAGTTAATTTTACATAATGAAATGGCAACATTAAAAGCGTTTGGGACCAAAGTGTGTCCAACGATAAGATAAAGAATTTGAAAAATCACTAATGCCTTACGAAGGATCGTATATTGGGTATGTGGGGCAGGTATGCAAGGAGCAGGATTTTCAAGATAAACAGATAGGGAAAGGTCGTTCTTATGCTTTTTCATTAAGCTCAATCGATAAACGAGTGAGAAACATACATGATGGTCACATAAGAAAAAGAAGAAGAAAGCAGAATTGATCGATATATGTTGCGTGTTGTTCGTTCGAACTTCCCGCCTAATCTTCCCATAGTAATAGTGTTGAAAGAACGGTGAAATTAATAAAAAAAAATAAAAGAAAACATGATGAAAGTAAAAGAGTTAATAACTAATAAAAGATAAACAAACACCCATCCTTCTGTGATGTTTCTTGTCCTTCAAATCAGCTGACTCCTCCCCCCCACTAGCTATTATAATAAGTAGATGTGTTGCCCGCAGCACACTTTTCTTCTCAAACTAGTATAGGTTGATGCCATTGGGTTAGTTTAAGAAGGAAAATGTACATCAGAATATCTCCTGGCTACTTTTCATTAAGTTTTGAACATAACTCTCTGTGAACACTGAGAGTAGTTTGAATGAAAAATACGCCACGACGGCGGCAGAGAGAAATATAGAGAGGGAGAGAAAAGGGATGACAGAGAGTAAAAGAAGGTAACAGATGTCCATATATACATCTATGTAATCGTTGTCTAGGATATTAAGCCTTAAATCTTTCCTGATCGCTCTAATTTACTTTGGAGAGGGAAGCGCATCCTATAACACGCAAAAATATTTGTTAAACTTGATTATAATCATAAAATGTATTATAAATATGAAGAATATATGAATTATCCTAAGAAAGTTGAAAAATATAAAATAATATAAAGAAAACATAAAACAGACAGAGAGAGGTAGAGAGAGATCGGAAGAGTAAGAGAGAGAGGGAGAGAGAGAAAGAGAGAGAGGATAGTGGTGAGAGATGGGAGAGCATACGTCTGCAACCGCTTCGCATCGCTTGGAAAAATGAAAATGACGGACGCTGGACGGTTATCGATTCATTCTAAGGGCGCCCTTTCCTAGGGAAAAAGCCATTTAGTAGAAGCATTATTCAGAAGTGTAAAGGAGGAGAAGACACATAATAGAGATGGAACAGCGCATACCAAGAAACAAAGAGCAATAATCATGGTGTTTTGAAGAGGGTTAAGCTCAAATTAAATAAATTAATTTCTAAAATTAATATTCAGACATGGCATTTGCTCTTGAAATGTGATATGGCTAACATATCGTATGCAAATCTGTAACATTTGAATATTCTCGGTCGATATAGAAGGCTTCTGGACCTTCACAACGTCAAAACAACAAATTCAAACTATCACACTGACTGATGGTATGAATGAGAGAGTATGAGACATTGACAGTTTGGTGAGAATCGTCTCTTGGCAATCAACAGGCAATATGTTGCGGAAAGAGCGCAACAGTTCGATTCCATCTCTGTCTGACGCATCACATGACGAGGAGCAAACGGTCCGCTGCGATGGACAATTGAATGGACGACCACTATCGATGACGTTGAACAAGGATTGGAGAAATAAGAAAAACAAATGTTCTCTAATGGGAAACGAACGCAGAAGAGATTGAAGGAGCTCAATGGGCAAGTATTCGATGAGAGGAATGATGTTGGTCAATGTTTTTAATGATTGAATTAGATAATAACGAGTAAACAAACATATTACTGAGCTACTCACTCACATCTCATATTGTATCGAGAAAGACGGTGAAGGAGGAATGGCGTAGGCACAGAGTAAGAGAGACAATCAGAGCGAAGAGAGTGAGAACGGAGTAACGGAAAGAAGGAATGAACACTTTTCAGGCAAAGAAGGAGAGTGAAAGAAACTGAAACAGAGGCAAAGAGAAATGAAAGGAGGGTCCAGAACTCTTTTATTCAAATGAGAAATGAGAGGGTGAGCAGGAACTCTCTCTCATGTTCATTGATGTGAAGCGAAGAAACCTCTAATAGAAAAGAGAGAGGGGGGGGGAATAAATGACAAGAGAGTGAAAAAGCATGATGAAATAATGAGGCATCAGTGGTGAGAACGGAAAAGCGAAGCTTTGTTCATTAAAGGAAATAAGAGGGATAGAGGGAGGTAAAGGAACGTAATGGAGTGGATATGTGAAAGAGAGTAAACGAAGAGGGAAAGAGATATAGAGAGGGAGAGAAAGGCGATATATGAAGCGAAGGAGATAAAAAGACAAAATAGACGAAAAAGGAGAAAAAGCAAAAAGGATGATAGAACAAGCTGTGTTCAGGAGGATCAGAGAGAATGGTTGGAGATAAACATCACATAGTTAGATGAGGATGAAGAGAATGCGAAATGAATGAAATGAGATAAATTGAAATTCATGTGCATAAATGGAAGTAAGAAATGTGATTGGTGTTCTTATAGTGATTATAAGAAGAATGAATGAGTTGAGTGAATGAAATAGAGATTGAGAGTGAGAGAGTTCTCACGAGCACAAAAAACATCTGTGACAACCATCTATAATCACATATCTAATCAATATAATGGACGAACGATAGTTCAAAATACAAAAATGCCTTTTTAATTATTATCAAATTGAAATTGTAAATCTTACAAAGAGCAGCTGTTAATATTAAAATTTTCATCACGAATCATGTGTGTCTGTGTGTGTGTGTGTGTGTGATCGCAATGGCTTTATGTGGTAATTCAGTTGAAGCCTTACATGATCATTTGAATGAAATTTTTTTTCTTGTGAGCTTCCCTTCATCGTTCGAATTCCATTCGTCATAGAAGAGCTTGAGCTCACCCTTTCCATATCTCTCTATCTCTATCTCTCTCTCTCTATCTCTCCCTCTATCCTTTTCTCTCATAAATTCTTAAATAAAGTCTTTGAGGAACTTTCAAAATGAATAAAAATTAAAAGATCTCAAGTGGAAGATTTCAAAGTAATTCCGGCTATTTTAAGATTCCCTTTGAGCTATCCAGCAGTTGGATGACAATAAGGAAACTTCTGAAAACTTCTTTTCTGAGAGTTAGTCAAATGGTCATTCAGCTTCCTTCACCTTTCTTTCCATTTGACATCTCTTATAATTCTATCGTTGTTCCCGTCTTCCTTGTCGTCGTCGTCCTCGTCGTCTTCGTCAGAATTCATTGAGCATTTTTTGATCTTGGCAACGTATCTCTCCCACCCAGCTTTTTCACGTCATCTATAAGCTCTCATTGAGGATATTGAAAGAGAGAGGCTATGAGAGAATGAGAGACAGGCTCACAGAAGGATAACGTCATAATCGTTTATCAATTCTCATCTCATTGGATCATTTAATTTTTTGAGTATTTTCTCTTTTATCAGCTTAAACCCAGGTGGTTTTGGATTTTAAAAAGGGGGCGGAGCTTGGCGATCCGAAGAGAAACCACGCCCTTTTAGTTGTAATTCTCAATTACTTGTAAGTAAAGCCTTCCTTGTTGAGGAAGGATAGTTTAAGAAAGTTCATGAAAAGCTTGTTTTCTCTCTCAATTTCTTCCTCACAAGGTCCTTTAGAGGATCGTTTATATGATATTTCCATTGAATAATACCTCTGGCAGTCTCTAGAATTATTCGAGTAAACATCTCTATGTGGCTTCTCTCTTGACAGAGAGAGGGCTTGCCTTTCTCTCTCTCTCTCTCTTTTAAGTATTTGGTAAGAAGGTTAAGAGTTGCATTCAATTGAACTTCCCTTCTCTCTTTCTCACATTGCTCGTTCTCTCTCTCTATCTCTCTCTCTCAAAGGATTTTCCACGTCAATCAGTCTGTGGTGGGTGGTTGTCAAAATCCAAAAATGGCTTCTAACCTTTGTTATAAATTTTAATTATAGTTGTTCCTTATATGGCTTTTTGGCCTACAATTTCCATAGTTGAAGTTCCATATTTGGGAGCTTATTTGTCCAATCTGCTAAGGCTTTGTCAAGGTCGGAAAAGAATGAAGAAAATTTCGTAAAAAAAAACGAGAAAAAGGAGAAAAAAAAAATTTTTTTTTCTCGTCTCTCGTAAACGGAGGTGTTCCACTCTGGTGTGGCTATAGTCTTAAGCTGTCGTTGTCTGTCTATTGGCATGTTAGTAAGCGAGCCAAGCCTTGTCATCAGAATTTTTATTTTAAAAAATTAAAATTTCTTCCTCACTCTCTCTCATCCATCTCTCTATCTATCTATTCTCTCTCTCTCTCTATTCTCGTATTCAAATGTATGTTGAAAAAATAAAAAAATATTTGTCTTTTTGCTTTTCAGAAAAGAAAAATGCAAATGTATTTGTTGGTCAACATTCTACTTTCCTTACTTGGATTAGCTTATTCACAACAACTTCGATACATTGAATCCGTGAGCCCTTTCAATCTCCTTTTTCCCTCTTTCCCTCCTTCACCTAGTACTTTCCCTCCCTCACTCACTCCCACCCTCCTTCACTTACTATCTATCGACGTCATCCTCTTTATTGCAGAATTTATTAAGAGCTCCAACTGAACAAGGAGGTCAACTACTTAATCCTTTATCATCTGCTGATATGGCCGAACTATCTGATGAAGTTCCTCTGGCTGAAGGGTATGTATTCATTTCTCTTCTTTCTTTGATTTTTCAAATTTTTTCTTATTTTTTGTCTCATTTCGAGACATCCACGAGAACTTCCGATTCCAATTTCTCTTTTCAATCAAATCCTCTCTCTCTCTCTCTTTCTCTAAACCCTCTCTCTCTCTCACTCTCTCTTTGTCTAATTTTTGGTTAAAAAAAGAAAAGAAAATATCAAATGCAAATTAGTTATTCATCTTGAAAAAAGTACAAAATGCCCCAAAATAATTTCATTTTTTTAGTTTTTTTTTCTTTTTCTTCTCCTCCGCTAAAGTTTCAAAGTCCTTTGACTCACACTTGTTGCTCTCATTCGCTTAATTAAATTTCTGTGTGCTGTCTGTCTGCTGTCTGTATGTGCTGTGTGTGGATGTCGTTGTCGTCGTTGTCGTCGTTCTCATCGTCGACGTTGTCGTCTGCAACAGCACACACACACCCCGCCAGCTTAATTCTTTGATAAAAAATTATTTTTTAATAAATATTATTTGTTTTCTTCTGTATAAAACATCTAATTACTTCCTCAGATTATGGCAATTTCAGTGAAGAGAAAACAGAAATTAACCGTCCGCTTCCCCTCCTTCCTTCTCCTCCTTCCTCTCTACGTTTGTCTGCAGATCCCTTCCTCACCCCTCCCTACCTCTCTCTCTCTCTCTCTCTCTATACCACCTTCGTTCTTGCTAGAACCATTCTTTTAACAAATAGATATTCAAGAAATACCAATTTAGTCTCTGTTCCATTGAAAACAATAAGAAACCAACATCTCAATGTGACGGTTGACTTTGAGAGAGAAAGGAACAAGCTTGCCATTTCACCTGTTACTTCATATGTATCAGCTGTATGAGCTATAAAAGGAAACCATTCTTGCTCAATCTTATCCCCACCCACCATTCCCTCCTTCACTCTCTCACTGTCCTTCTCCTTCCCTCTCTCTCTCTCTCTCTCCCTCTCTCTTTGTCTAGCCATCTCTCCCTACGTCTTATCATTCGAACAACCAAAATAGACTGAGACATCAGGAGTTTTATGACTTCTCATCAAATTTCATTTGCAAAAAACACATTTGATAAAAACCAAAAAAAAAAAAAAAAAATTTTTTTTTTATTAAAAAAATTGAAAAATGACGAGAAGAGGATGTCACGTGAATGACAGCGTGGGATCGAGATCTTACAATTCTGGGAATTAGTGTGAAATTAATTAAATTCATTTCAGACTTCATCTGTTTAAGAAAGCTTATGTTCGTCCATGTGTCTACAATATGGGCAATTGCTTAACGATAGCTCAACAACGTCGAATCATGGATCATCTTCGCCATTTGGTAGCTTTGAAGGAAAAGTAAAAACTATTTTAATTTTCTCCATCCTCCATTATCAACATGACGATTATGGTTGTTGGACATGTTGATCAATGTTGTCGTCATTGGCTAATGATCTCTCTCCATATCCTTATAAGGAACATCGCCATTATCTATTATCCACTGGATTACATTTGTTACTTTGAATCCTTTTGTGGTAGTCAATTAAGTACATTCCAATTAATGTATCTCAACATCATTAGTTTTAGTTTTTAGAATCTTTCATTTGAGTTGTTCAAAAGAAGAATGAGAGATGAAGAAAGCGTGTAAATCTCATCAAATCCTAATCTGTCTGTCATTGATGTTGTCCTTATATGTCCATTGTCCCTATCATTTGAGGTATGTGCATGTTGGACAACAGGTTGTATGTTTCTCGATTATAAAAACTTGTCAGCTGTTCTTCCATATATATATACCGAACTTCAAATTAAAGTCAATTCAACATCTCTCTTCGTTGTACTTCATGTCCTTGTGATGAGGCAAAAGCAAATCAAACTTCCATCTTACTTTTTTTTTCTGAGCTTCATGTCTTTCATTACACTAAGGTAAATGGGAAAGAAGACGAAGAAGAGTCGCAAGTAACCATTGCCAAGCTAGTTTCTACATCAATAACCTCCGTCTCTTGCGTTCTCTATTATGAATGAAAAGTAAAAATTGGACGATTTCAAATTGACAACGGCATTTGAGTTCAGATGAAAGACGTCTGTATGGATTGACTTCTTCAACAAAGAATACGTCAATAGCTAGAAGTTCTTCGGAAGAACAAGAAGATGAAGAAGTAGATGAAGACACAGGATACTGGAAGAGAAGAAAGACTCCATGGATATGACACTATGATTAAAAATCATTCGATTAGAATAGTTCAGACAACGTCATTGTTCATACCAAGTACATTAATTGGTAAAGGCTTAAAGACATCATAGCTTGCTACTTCTTATCCATTTAATTAAATTTAAATAATAAAGTTATCTCTGTTCATCTATCTCTCTCTCTCTCTCTCCTTTCCCTACCACATCGCATCACACACCATACCAATGAGTAGTATAGAGGGAAACTCATATTTAAACAAAAGGGAAAGGTGTAAGATTGACTTTGCAAAGTATTCTTTCCGGATTTTCTTTTCAATAAGGCTTTTCCTTCTTTTGTTATATAGCTATATTAGTCGTCACTTGTGTTCATTTGAAGAAGACCAATTAGTCTCATATATGGCCAAGTTACCGGCTAAGGTCAAGCCCATAACTAGCTCTACAGCCTTACCGGCTTCTCCACAACTTGTCTCAAGCCGCTATGTGTCCGAGAAGACCTTCCATTCGGATTTACTTACTCAATCTTTGCAAATATATATATATCGAGTTCGCATGAAAGTTATGGAGAATTTCAAGTCTCTACCTCTACCGCCACCAGCAGCAACACCACCACCACCATCTCATCATCATCATCATCATCGTCGACAAGTCTTCTACCGTTCCTATCAAAGTTTATTTCAACCTCTCAAGGCGGGACCGTGTTGAGAAATTTACAAAAAATAACATTTCTGTTATATTTGAGACATTACCATCCAGTTGTTGTGTCTTTGGTACTGTTTACATGCTGTTTTGTAGCTTTTTTGGATGTTCTTCTACGTTTTGCCTCCCCAATTTGCCTTCTTCAACGTTCTTCGAATAAACCTGTCATCGTCGTCTTTCTGTCTGTCATCAGAAAGAAGCACCGGGAAAGAAGCAGAAGCATCTGGACCCTCAACAGATTGCTGCCGGCAATCATCCAATTATGGCAACTGACTCGTCTTCCCCCTCTTTACCTCTCCTTCTCTTTGCAAGCAAATGGAATAAAAGCATAGAGAGAGAGTAGGAAGAAGAGGAAATGAGAAAAAAAGGAAAAAATGACGAAGTAATAGAAGAAGCCATCATATACCTCCATCTACCTACCTCTCCTCAACTTTTATTTCGTCTTGCAAATGTTTTTTCCTCCATTAGCAACGATTCCGAGTATTCAAGAATCAGGATATACTATGCTATCTATATGCCTGCACCGTACCCACACAAGCACACACACATATACGATAGATCTATTTTTGTTTATTCAGTATTTATCTTCATCTCCAACACCAATCCCACGCATACATACATATGTGTTTCAGCAATTCAGAATCGTTGTGAAGGAATACAATCGGTCATCTCCATTGGTACGATAACGAGCCATCTGATACATTCAGCAGTAGAGAAGCCGGCTTATCTCAAGCATTTCTCCGTCATAGGCTATGAGGTGTGACTAGAGCAAGTTAGGCTTTTCAACAAAAAGAAAATAATTCATTTCATCTATATTTCCAGCCACAACGTCATCCAGTAGTCTCTCTTTCATCAGAATCTCTTGTTATTACACTTGAAAGTCATGCAGATATTACTCATTATTCATATTTTACTACTTTATGCAATTATTACAGGTGATTTCGAAATTTTGTTTTTCATTCAGACAACACGACAGCCGTATGCTAATTCATCAATCAATAAATTCATCTGATGTTCAAATTCTCATTAGCATATGTGTGCATGTGCATTTTCATTTTGAAACAATGTTTTCTAGCAGGCGGTTGTGTTTGTAGTTGAAGTAGTAGTAGTAGTCAATTCCGTAATTTTATATTAATTTGTCAACTTGTTTTTACTATTTTTAGCTGCCAGTCTACGGATATGTTCTCGACGACATTTCACAATACATCATGATGCTATATTTCAACGAATAGAGTTGCCATCACCAGATAAGTGCGTTGAAAGATGTATTGAGAGTATCGCCTATTGTCGAGCTGTTGTCTTCATCAAGAATTCCAAAAAGGTTTTAATACATTCTACTTCCTTCTTTAAACTGTTTACCATTAAGGATCTTGGACTATGTATTGTTCACACCGTTAACAGCTTCATAAACAGTTCTGCTATCCATCCGGACGCCTCCATCGATCCAGAAACAACAGGTTTTTCATGAACACAGGTGTTTCAGCATTCAACATCATCTTATTATAGTGTTTGAGTTGTTAGAGAAATGCCCTGCATTCTCAGTTTCTGATATAGCACATAGAATATCAGCAACTCATAAGAAGCTATTAGATAATGGGGGGAAAGGTAATCAACTCATCATCACTATCATTCAAATTTTAATCATTAAGATATCGAGTTGATTAGGCAAGATGCATTCTTTCCTGAGAGGGACAGATTTGCAGAGAGTGATATTAGAGTTGGAAAACGTGATCGTTATGCGGTAAGCAATGAGTTTCAATTGCTGTTATTGATCCTGTTCTAGACAATGAAATCAATTGAGTTCAGTGAAGATCCTCGTAGTCCTTTCGATAATCCACCGAAAAACGATCATGAACGTCCGAAATCACCTTTTGCTGGTAAAATGATGACTTTGATAAAGCTTCTCATTGATATTTAGATTTAACGCCCATTCGACCTGTTCAGGTGTTACATCAAGGTCGTCAAATGTCTCAGATGGGCTCAATGGGATGTGGAGGTTAGAAACTGTTTGGTATGATATATGATAATTAACTATTCAGCTGGTTCGCCTTGCGTTCCCACTTTGGCATCTTTAGATTCCGGTCCATGTCCAGCACGAAGAGGAGACCCATGTGCACCTAAGCCACCTTGTGTATCTTTGAGAGTTTATGACAATCGAATAAGTATCTAATTAAGATGATGGAGGCTTGCTTCCATATAGATGATGCTCCACAGACTGTGAGTGTTGAATGGTCAGAATGGAGTGGCTGCTCAGCTACTTGTGGTTCTGGTGTTAGAACACGAAAATGTTTAGGTAGTTGACCATTTTTCAAAGCAAAATGATGCTTATAATTTTGAGGTGGCGCTAACTGTCTCGGATCATCAACAATGCCTTGTGCGCTATTACCTTGTTCTGAATGGATGCCTTGGGGTGTATGGTCTTTCTGCTCAGCCACTTGTGGTATGGGAGAGAGAAAAAGAACACGTTTATGTCCTGGAACAGGAGGCTGTCCAGGGCCGAGTGCTGTATGCTTGATTGCATTTAAGGCAGTTACATTTCAATGGTTTAGATGGTTGAATCCTGTCAGTCGTTACCTTGTCCTAGTTGGTCGGCTTGGGGTCCATGGCAGGGTTGTAATATTCAATGTGGGCGCGGTAAAGAACGGCGAATGCGAACTTGCCAGGTTTAAAACTAACATAACAACCGATAAGGTCCTAGTTATAGAATGGAATATTTTGTCCAGGACCTGTCTTTGAAGACAGAGAGTGTGACCGCGGACCATGCCCTCATTGGTCTGACTGGACTCCTTGGACTAGTTGTTCGAAAAGTTGCAATGGAGGTGATATGGTAAACAATACAACTTTATATGTAATGGGTTATTTCTACCTTTTGAAGTCCCGAAAAAGAGAGTGCCTCGAAGGTACAAGTTGTGTGGGTAGCTCTGAAGAGAAACTGCTATGTAACCAACAGAGATGTCCTGATTGGACTGCCTGGACGGAATGGACATTATGTGACCAAACGAAATGTGATGAGGAAACATATCGTTTACGTAACCGGTATGTGAAAGCACTTCAAATGGAATAATCATCTCTGCAGCGTATGCTTGTATCGTGGAGTTCCGTATGCAGGTTGTGAAGGAGCAGCTCAAGATCAAACAGCATGCCCTTCAAAAGAATGTGCGGCTTGGACTGAATGGAAGGAATGGTCGGAATGTAGTGCCACTTGCGGACAAGGAAACCAAATGAGGTATAATGACGACATAGCAACCTACTCAAATAAAACCAACAGATCACGAACGTGTGAAGGAGGATCAGGCAATTGCGAAGGATCTCCGAGTGAACTTCGTTTTTGTCAATTAACGTCATGCCCATACTGGGGCTCATGGAGTGACTGGGGTGGATGCTCTGTTAGCTGTGGAATGGGTGTATGTGAACGAAAACGAAAGTATCATTTTCATTCGTAGTTTGAAATATCAAATTCATTAAGGTGCATTATGGATGAACTTCTAAATATACCAGTTGATTTGGAAGAATTGGATCAGCTGCCTATGGAGGCAGATGACGAATCTGACAAGGCGAAAGCCGCGTTGATTGCGAGATCGAAACACATCAGAATGAAATCTCATAATGACACAAGTAGAGCATATGGCGATCGCATATACTCACCAGCCAATGGGTTCAGTTTTGATAGTACTGTTACATGTAGTGGAAGTGATGTGGATAGGAAAGTTTGCGACGCTGGTTAGAGCTCTTCTTCCAAACTGCATTCAACAATATATTACAGGACCTTGCTGCGTATGGGACTCCTGGTTGGAATGGTCTCCATGCATAGGTAATTCTGTTTTTTCTTATTGTTAATTGAAATTGTTTGAGGTTGTGGTACAAAGGGAATATCTAGAAGGAACAGGCAGTGTATTGCTGAAGGAAGTCCTGAATCAATGCGTTCACCTCAATTATCTTTCCAAGTATCGAGAAGTCATAAGCCTTACATTAGGTCACTTTATTATAGGAGGATGGGAAAGGAAACCAAGAGCATTATATTCTCAGTGGAAAGGCAGGTTCACTTTCATTGATTGGCCTTGCTCCGATAGTTCCAATAGTTCATCGTGGGAAACGATCACCGTTTGAGAGTGAGTTCATGTAGATTGCGACTTTATCGGATCTTCTATAACACAGATAACCAATGTTACTGCCCCGGATCATCTATGGAAACTCGCTCATGCCCCAATGCTACACCTTGTGAAGATGAAGCACCCACCTGCAGTTGGAGTTCGTGGGGAGAGTGGTGCGGTTGTACTCGTTGCCGAGTAAGCTCTTAACTCTTTATTTAATTAATAATTCTCAATCAGTCTGGAAGAGAAGTAAGGAAACGGTTCTGTGATAGTGCATCCCCGTCAAGTCAAGCTTTCGGACCAAATATGCCAAATCCTAGTTGTAAGTGTCCCGGATCAGATGAAGAACAAAGAGCATGTCAATACGATGAAGTGCGTTCAATATCAAATTGAAATCATTCAAACTCATTTATAGACGTGTTTCAACAAAGGTTCTGGTACAGCAAGTGTGGCAGAAACGAACGTTGAGAGTAGTCACTCTGTAGATCATTATATTCCCATAGAATCCCGGATTAATAATATTGAGGTAAATGGGGGGTTGAATCACTATTAACTGATAAACTTATACAGTTTAATGGAAAACAGGCACCTCCTAGATATCCATTGAATCGTAAAGACTCTGCCTTCAGTACAACGGTTTTCCCTTATCCAGTATGTTTCATTCACTTCGAAGAGATTTCACAGTTTTTTTCTTGAAGGTTTGTCGCTGGTCACAGTGGTCTGATTGGAGTGAATGTCATGAAGCTGGACAGAGAGAGAGAAATCGTTTTTGTATCAACAGCGATGGTAGCGAGAGAAACTCTTTAGGTTCATCAACCTATTCATGGTTTCAGCATTAGTCAATAATTGTGAATGCATGGGGAAGTCAACTGATACAGCTAAATGCGATCCACATGAAAATGTGTTATCACCTCGAGGCGATCCGGTTCCTGGTGAAGATCGCTCCCTCAATGTAGAGACGGAGTTCACAACTGAAGAAGAGAATGAGGCATATTATATTCATTATACAATAATAATAATCTCGATGTTACAGTTGGATTCTGATTTGGACTCTGTTTTAAAATCTAGTGAAGAGAGCGATTCAGGCTCAGCAGATGAGGCGGTCGAATCACATCCTCCTATGCAACAATCAAAGCAACAATCTTTTGGAGAGTTACAACCTGCAAAAGAATCGGTTGCATTCCGCTGTGATACTTCATAACCGTTAATATTTAGCAATGTGTCTGGACCAGATGGTCTCTCTGGTCGGATTGCACTGCAACTTGTGGTCCAGGTGAAAGAATTCGAAAAAGGAGGTGTCCCTGCGGGTCAGCAGTAGCATATTCATCAGATAGTTATCATTTCCTATTACAGAGATGGTCAATGCGGCGGAGGGATAGAAACCGAAATGGAGCCATGCGAAAAAACTGTCTGTACATCCGAAAAACGTCGTCATCCTGTTTTCAAGATGGCAGATGATGCTTAGAAATACAAACTCTTGACAACATTTTGCTTGTTCAACAAATGATGTATTGTTATGTATTAAATGTAAACCTTTTTCATGTAAATAATCTGCTCAGAAGACTCTTTGTTATTAAGAAAACAAGAATATGACATGACAGGGGGAGATTGGGGGAATAGAGGGGGACATCGATGTATGATAGAATACATGTTTTCTATCTTAACAGAATTAAAACAAAAACCTCATATGACGGTTTGGATAAGTAATGCATTCACATCTGAACAGTAGTAAATACTGAAGACGGACGAACGAGATGAATTGACCGTTTAAGATTTTGGAGGCCACTAAACCATTGGTGGCTTTCGTTCGCCCTCTTCTTCTCCTCTTTATCTGCTATTTTTCCCTGCACCTGTGCGTATAATCTCCTGTGTTTAGTGTCTTCTCCGAAATTCTATTCGTCATTCGTGATTTGTTCTCAGAGGAAACTGACGTTGTTCATCGAAATCAGGTCAATCGTTCATGTCCCCATATCAGGGCGACGACACTTCTTTAACGCAAAGCAAATGGTAGAGGGTGTCGTACTCATGATGGCGTACGTCTTGACGTTTCCTGACCATCTACCAATCGTTTTGACCTTTCTTTATTTCAACGACCTTCTTCGAGCTGTTCATACTGACCTCATAGTTTCATCAACTGTTAAACGTCATATATCGTCTTCTTATCTTTTTTTATTTTAAAATCTTAAGAAGCGTATCAGTTTCAAAATGTTAATTGTTCGTCTTAATCAAACTCTCTTATCCGAATGTTCCTTCTCATCTTCTATTCCACCAAGTTTAAGAACAATTTCCTCTATTTGGCACTGTTGACTTCTTTTAATGTTATGACTTGTTCCTATTTGGTCTAAATACAGTCATTCGACAGTATCAGAACCCATCCCTTCGCTCTGTAGAACTCACATCATTTCCCCCATTACTTTTAGTTTTGAACATCTTTTACCAGTTTATCATCTGCTGATGGACTCACACACACTCTCTGACCCCTTGAATGACGAATATTCCAAACTTTTGATCATTTCATTAACTATACGTTGTTGTTTAAAATAACCAACTGATCAAACGCTCAACAATTGACATGAAACGTTCTTCTGCCCCACTTTATTCACATCTCATCATCTTCTGACTGTCAAATATCTTTCCTTTTCATTCTACTTCTTTTTTTTTTCAGAGGGTGATGCCCTCAAAGTTGTCACAATATGGCCGGGCTTTCGAAGACTGGATGGTTGCCAGTTTTTATCAGTATGGCCTCATAGTCGGAAAATATCCAAAATGGTTCTTGTGGGGTCCTTTGCTATTCACATTAGCATGTGTCCCTGGCTTATTCTTTCTAAGAATAAACTTGGATTTGTACAAACTTTTCGTCCCTCTTGATGCTCCAGTTCGATATGAGTTCGAGAGAACACAAGACTTCAACAAGTTACCCTTAGGAGATTTAAATAGTAATCGGTGAGTATTGAAACTCATTCATGCTGGTTTTAAAATGTTGTTCAGTAATCGTCGTGAGATACCTGATACACCCTACCCTGACTTCGATTCTGCCCAATTCCCTGATTTCGAGATGGAACGTCTTCGAAGAGATTTGGATGGTTTCCGCGAATTTGCTGAGTTATCAGAGTTCGCTAACATAACTAGACATCGCCGTCAAACAAAGGATGATGATATCAAAATGGGAATGACAAAGAAGGAGCCAAGACGACCAAGAAAGCAAGGAGGTGAGAAAATCAATTTCCACGATCAAATACTGTTTGGTTTTCAGTTGCATGGAAATCAGATATCCTCAGATTCTATGTTGTTCACCGGAAGTTCGAGAATCTGCTTCAATCGAAAGTAGGTTATCAACGAACAATAAAATAAAACCTCTCTCTAGTATTTGGGACCGCTCTATGATAATACCAACAAGATGATGGATGTGAAGCTCAACTACAAGAACAATGAATACACATTTGAAGATTTCTGTCAACGAGATGAGCTTGCGGCAAGTACAATACCGTCAATATGTTAATCAGATAATCTCTTTTAGGGATGTCAAAACGATCTAAACGTGTGGGTTAAGCACGCTGATGTTCTTTTCAAAGATGGAAAAATCAAAACGAACCCCAACCTTCAACTTTCATATCCAGTTTTATATCTGTTCAACAAGCCAAAAGATATTGGAAATGTACATGCTCCTTTATACCTGTAAACTAATTGGGCTTTCATTCAGGTCATCTATGGTGTAGATGTTAAGGGAGAGAAGAATGAAATCCAAGGAGCACGTGTTCTAACTATTCACTGGTTTATTCGTTACCCAGCTACTTCGGAGAACAATGATGTTTATTTCCACTATAGAGAGAGACTTATGGATTTCTGGAATGAAGTCTCTGACAACTCAGATCTTCAATTCATTCCACATAAGTAAGAAATAGAAATAATTTGAGAAAACTCTAACAACCATTACTTCAGCGATAAAGCTATGGATGACGAAATGATGAAAATTATTGAAACCACAGTACCATTCGCTGTCCCAGCTACTATTATGCTTATGATCTTTGTTGTTTTCTCTAACTGGAGTAATGTCCGTTCTAAGTAAGAGAAGTTGAACCAAATTTTATGAAACTTCCTCTCTCCAGATCCAAACCTTTGGAAATGTTTATCGGAGTTTGGTCAGTTATCTTGGCTCTTATCTGTACTTTCGGAATTTTCTTCTACTTCGGAGCTGCCTTCAACCCAGTTACTTCAACAATGCCTTTCCTCGTACTAGCTGTAGGAGTCGACGATGACTTCTTGATGATAGCAGCTTGGCGAGAATTAGATCAAAGGATATCAGTGCAGAAAAGAATAGCTTTAGTTATGGGTGATGCCGGTGCTTCAATCACTGTAACATCATTCACCAATTTCTTCTGCTTTGGTGAGAATCACACATCTCTTCGTAATAAACAAAAAAAAATATTTTAAGGACTTGGATACTTCATGTGCTCTACCCCAGCCGTATCTGACTTCTGTTTGATCACAGCTTTCGGTGTTTTGGTTGATTACATCATGCAGGTGCGCGAGTTTATTAAACATTTTAAAAATAAAATGCTGAGAAGTTCATGCCGCGACTTTTGATTTATCCACATAGATGAACGCACCTCCAATCCGAACAGCTGCACACATAGACTTGCGTAGAGTACACAGAAAATTCTCCATAGGATCTTCTATTTGAACATCTTCAAGTTCAGAGCAGAACCTATAACAACTTTTAAAAAAATCTCAATTGATACTATGTTACCTATCATCGCATTGCTTTTGGCCTTCGATGCCATTTGAATAGCAAAAGTCGTGAGCTCTACAGATCTGGTTTATCCTATCTGAACACATTTTGAAAGTTAGAGAAAATACAGCTTCACTTACCCATGGCACTTGGGCATTTGACTGCTGCAGCCTTGTGTGATATGTATTTTGTTGCAAAAAATTTATCGGCTCCACACTCCCATTGATCAAGTTGCATATACTCATCATGAGATGAACGTGACTGAAACTGTAACGGAGGTCATGAATCATAAGCGAATAGAATATCTTACCGAGAACTTATCATGGAAGAAGTTCTTAACGTCTTGGAAGAAATTACTAAAGAAACCATTCTGAAAGACAGATGATAATTTATAAAAAACAAAAATTAAGTGAATACCGTTGTATGTAATACTGATATCAGAGCAAACAGATGTATCAGCCGCATTGCTGACGCGAACACCAAGTGTATTCACCAGTTTTCAAAAATTAAAACAAATAAGCAAAGTGAATACTGGTAGTAACGATCAATGCTCTGATATATAAAAATTAAAAGGTGATTTGGCGTAAAGAAGAAAAGTCCAAATTGCAATTGGAAACAAAAAACTAGATCTGCTTCCGCTTAATCCCAATTGCAAACCCTGAAACAACAAAAGATTTGATAGATATTTTCAACAGTTGACTCACTTTTCAGCTAACCTTCTTCGCTGCTATTCTGGTCTACTCTGGTCATAAAGAAAAAACCGGAGGACTGGCAACATGTTGTTACAAGAAGACCGATGAGGTTTGATCTTATTCAATTTCAAAAGCAAAGATCGTGATTATAGGTCAGCCCTGATGATGAAGTCGTCACTACTGAGGAAGCCAGAAAGCCTTCTATTGATGAGAACAACATTGACTGTCAACATCATGAGATTTCTGAAAGCTGTAAGTGAATTATGAATAACTGAACCTCAATGAAATTCGTTTAGTACCTTTCATGCACAAGTTCTTCGGAGATAAGTTTGCTCCATTCGTATTGCGTAAAGATGTCCGAATCATCAGTTTGTTGTGCTTCTTAGCTTACACTGCTTTCTCCCTGTATGGCTGCTGTATTCTCAAAGTAAGAAACTATCAACTCACTCAGCACGAACTATGTGTTCAGGTCGATATTTCTCCAGTCAAGTACATTCGTGACAATTCTCCAATCCAAACCTTCGTAGCATTAGCCGGTAAGCTTACTCAGAGTCTATCTGTCTATAATATCATTTCAGATAAGTACATTTGGGCTGATAATGTCCAACCTACATTCCACATCATGAGTCCACCTGATTTAAGAAACCCTGCCAACAGAGCTAAGATGAACGAACTCGTTTTCAGATTAGAACACACCGATTATTCCATTGGCAGAGTATGGTATTCTTTTCTAAACAGAGAAACATTTTTAAATCTTAGGTTTCGACAAACTTGTGGCTATGGGAGTACCAGCAATATTTGAACGACTTCCCCCATGTAGATATGAGCAGAGACTTCTACGACAAAGCACTCCTGAAGAATTTCTTCGAACAGCTTGATTACAGTCAATACAGAGGTTTGTTCGAATTCTCAACTTGGATAATTTCGTTTTTCTAGACAAAGTTAAGATTATTGATAATGTTACCAACAACGAACCATGCATCTCGGCTTTCACATTCCAAACTTCATTCTACGGCTTGGACAGTTGGGATAAGAGACAAGGTAAGATAACTAAATGATTATATGATTACACAATTCTTCATTAGCTGAACTTTACCATTGGAGAGCCATTCTGAATGAATACCCTGAGTACGAAATGTTCTTGTCTGGAATTTTCAGGTTAGTACCTTTTTTCAATAATCAGTAGCAACACAGCCGACGCTTCCGTCTTGTTTTGAAAAATGAAAATGTGTGAGCCACGCCGAACTCACGTAAACGTGCATATGCTAATTACGTCGAACGCTTAACCTACACACTCACCTCATTAGAATATCATTTTAAAAATTTCATTATGGTCGAGTTTCAGTCCTTTCCTCATCGATCAAAGAAGAACGATTGCTCCATCTTCTATGCAAACTATTGGTTCAGCCTTGGCTATGATGGCATTGATCTCCTTCTTCTTCTTACCCGACTTGGTATGATTATCAAATATTACATATCTGTAATCAATAATGTTCTTTGTTCAGCAATCTGTATTTTTAATGACCTGGTCCCTTCTATCTATCTCAATGGGTGTATGCGGAGGACTTGCCTTATTAGGCTCAGATTTAGATTCTGTTAGGTATTTGAATCTGAAATTAATCGATTACAATTAATTCTCGATTCTAGTATGGGATGTATAGTTATGGCTATCGGTTTGGCTATAGATTATTCTGTTCATATTTGCTATCGCTACCACAGATCAGAATATCCCAAGGCTGCTGACAAGGTACATACGCAGATACAAGAACTCACGCAATTACATTTTTGCAGTTGAAAGACACATTGAGAAGTGTAGCCTGGCCAATTACTCAAGCCGTTAGTTCCACGCTGTTTGGTCTGGCCAGTACAGCTTTCGTGCCAGCATACTTAGTTCGTGTATTTTTCCAAACAGTGTATCTTGTGAACATCATCGGTAAGCTCAGTTCATTTGAGATTACCTTAATAGCACCATTTAAGGTCTTGCTCATGCCCTGATTTTCTTGCCTCAGCTGATTTATACGTTGGATCCATGTGAACGTGTGCCACTCCGCATGAGAGCCTCGCAGAAAAGAGTTATGTGATCTCCGAACGCTTGAAAAGTATTTCCATCACCCAATTCTTATTCCGTCTTCTAAACAACTAGTCTAACATTGAAGGAAGACATTTGCTAACATTGATCAAGCCTTTCTAATAATATAGAATAAGAGTTAAACTTTGAAAGCAGACAAAACTTCTAATAAGATTATATTAAATTGAAATGTTTTATTCGCTTAATAAAATGGTGAAGTAACGAATGTGAAGATGTCTTGATAATTCTTATCAACCGTAGTGAATAATGAAATGTAGGAAATGAAACTGCTCTCTGCTAACTTGGCTACATTCAAGCATTTCTATTTTTGTATTATTGGATATTCCAGAAGAAGGAGAGGTAATACACTGGTATGGAAATTATATGAACAAACATATCCCCGTATGTCCACACAAGAGAGAAGAGGGACGACTGAACACAAAAAACTGAACGAAAATTTGGAGCACGGGGTCTATCACAACTGTTTGGTACTAAGAGCTTTCCATGGTTAGGAATGATAAAACGTGATTTTGGTAGATTTAGTAGAACCTGCCATAATATCTAATGCTAACTATAGTTTGACTATACTCAGAAATTTGGTACATAAGTCATAGACAGTTTTCGATCTGCTCCTGAGAGACAACAAGTTTTGACGAGCGCGGCAGTAACTGAAACGGTTCAATGAGGGAGATCAAAAGATCAAAAGAAATGACCCAAAAATGAAAATACAAAATAGAATGTCAACATACCAGTATAAGGATCACAATTGGAAGAAGGCCTTCTATCCTCAAGGTAGCCCTACAAATAGAAAAATGAGAATGTACAAATGACCAGACCAGTAGGATGAACACCAAACAACAAAGTGTTAGAGGAGATTAAAAGATCAAAAGACGACATCTGCGAACGTGATAACTCACACATTTATTATCGTAAACCTGCTTTGGTATACGAATCGAACATTGCCGGTTGGCAACTCCAGAGGAAAAGGCATCAATGTTTTCAGTCTCATGCGCGCCTGTGAGTCGGCGCTCGTTGTCTCTCCCTCCTTAAAATTATCAGTTTGGTTTTTTTTTCAAATTTCTCTTGTATACCGTGAGGATCGTAATAGGCAATGTGCTCAAGATGAACGTCGGACAATCTTTGAATAGCTTCTTCGATATATCTGAAGGTAAGATGATGTTTATTGTTTTGAGACCATGAGTACTTGTAGCCACTTGGATCTCTCATCTTTTCGGTAGAGAAGTTACAATGACATCCAGCCCCATTCCAATCTCCAAGAATGGGTTTAGGATCCAGAGAGCAAATTACTCCAAAGTCTTCACATATCCTAGATAGGTTAGCTGTGTTCTCGCTGATTGTAGAAACAAACCTGTGCATGATATATCTGGCGACCCAGAGTTGATCTCCCATTTGGATTCCTAAACAAGGGCCGACTTGATACTCCCACTTAAAAGAATGCAAGTTAGTGTTTGACAATATCCTTAGCGGACCTGCGCTGGCATAGTTTCGGCATTTATTCCACTAATCTTTATTCCGGCATACATACATGCTCGGAAATGAGCTTCTACTAGTTCTCTCCCATAAACTTTATCTGCACCAACCCCACAATAGTAGGGACCTGGAAAGAAGTACGTTACTAACGGATGCAACCGGGCTCGGAAATATTTTCCTTGTTGACCCGGACAACATCTTTGAATCTTCCTTCTACCCGATTTCAACTGGAATTTTCTTCACCGTTCCGAAATCTAATTAACGGAAAAGGCTTTCAAGAGAAATTTGTCTTGATTTCAATTTATATAGAACTGGATTCGTGATTGAGACATCGACCAAAAAACTCACGGACGAGACAGGGACCACCGGTTAGGTCGCCGGATATCCTTTTGGTAGATTGCTCTGAATTCAAAGGACTCAGAGTATCAACAATTAAAAGTTAAGGAAGGTGTGACTGATCAAAGTCAATGTCAGTGTTTAGGATATTCAGTTAGCTTATGGTACCAGTTTTGCGTGTGGGACACACATGTTTAATAATATTTTTGAACGCAAATATTTAAAGATCACTCACCCTGAGGGGCAGGGTAGCCATGTTTAGGCCATCCATAAGGATGCCGGTCAATATCGAGTAAAGTGTACTCCTTAAGCCAAAAAAAGTATGGAAAGGCGTTCTCTGCTATACCTGCTCCATTCCAAACCAAGGCTTCTGATCAGCTGCTTTCTCCATTACTTGAAGACATTCCCTCCTATTATTGGTGGCTACAAACAGAACGTAGACACATCACTTTCTATCTTGAATACTCACGAGTAGCCTGGTACTCACTGTCCAATGTTTCACAAAGAACAAGTTTATTTGGCCCCGGGCGAAATGGATCACGGAAGATAGCCACAGGCTTTAATCAATAATATTGTTATGGATGATCAATAGCATCTCTAACCTTCAAAAAAATGTCCGATATATCACCAACCGCCTGACCCGTAGACGTTCCATCAAAGTTCCAAATAGGAATTTCTGAACTTTGGCACTAGGAAAGATGTTTTGTTGAACTCATACCGTCTGGAGTACGTGGTTCGAAGTCTAGTGTTTTCGTTTTAGATCTGAGATGTTCACCAGTTCCATCAATCCAGATATAACAAACCTAGAAAGAAAGAAATAATATCTTCATCTGATAGTCTTGCAAGGTGAGTATCACACGCCACAACCCGAAACCCCTCAATACCTGAACCATTCCGGATTGATCTAGTCCGCGATACTTATCCACAACTGAAGTTAACCCTGATATTCCTGAAAAAAAAAACGAAAATTCGAAAGCGTATGAAAATAAAAGCCAATTGTCCAAAGATCAAAAAATCAAAAATAAAACTCACTGTCGAACTTTCGCTTCATTCCTCGATGATAGGCCATTATTTAATGTGTGTGACAACAAATTTTAATTACGGTTTTTGAGACTGGATGGCGAAACTCTTAAAATATGCTGTTTGAACAGTTTTGCGAGTGAAGTAAAGAAACGAGCTAGAAAACAACAATGAATAGGGCATATGTGCAAGGTATATGCAAAGCTTCATACAAACATGGAGGAGTCGGCGATACACACACACACACACACACACACACACACATACAATAAACAAATGGTAAATCAAAAAAGGAAATGAATATCACTTCACACGTTCAGATGGGTGTGAATTCTCGTATCCATGGTAATACTCGGACTGCTTAGTTTATCTTATTGTTGGGCATGATACCAGGGCACAGATAGATCTAGGCGGAGCAACGGGGTATCAATCAGACGTTACGATCCCAGATTACTCAAAAAATCATTTTTTCTGACACTGACTAGGCGATAATTCAAAGTTTATTTGAGAAAAAGCGACAACGACATTCTGATGAAAACATCGTGCCGTAGTTGAATAGAGATAGCTGGCAGAGGCATCTCTCTGTCCGTCGTTCAAAGATCAAACTATCAAAACTCTCTATACTTTGATGATTTGATTGTACCTAGAAGACCACGAGAAAGATAATTACACAAGAAAACAAGTGATATGCATCAAGATTCACAGTGACAACCCACAACTTCAGGGCTGTTTCATTCCAAATTTTTTTTCGAGATAACCTCCTTTCTCAGATGTTAATGAGAGTTTAAGTCGTCTCAGAGAGATAGGCAGTAACACGAAGAACAAACATTAAGAACTGCAGAAGAACTCTGCAACCTTTTTCACATAATTGTAAAACATATTGATTGCGGATATCAACATGGCAAACTAACAGGTCGCAGGATATTGCCACTAAGCATCCTTGCGAACAGCCGATTCCGGAAGGGGTTATCATGCGGTACGTAAAATATAAGAGTTATTGGAAAAATGACGAAGGAAAAAATGTACGCGAAATAGAGACAAAGAGAAATAGAACGTGGGAAAAGAGAGAGATGACACACAGACACTTTATGATCATCGAATATAGTAAGAAACCTGACGTAGACTGACGGTGAAAAGAAGAAAAGGAGAAATTGTATCAATAGAAACATAGCGGTAAGGAAGTCACAACATTTATGAGTTGGAGTGGACAGGAACTTAGGAACTGTTGAGTAAAAGGAGATTTAGACAAACTCACGATCACTTTGGGAAAAGGTGGGGGGTTCAAAAACCAAAAAGTTCTCCTTCTATCCTTGAGAGATTGGAGACAGAGGATGGAATGGCTAGTAACACAGTATAGGAAGCATGTTGGGTTCGTGACAGTCATCCATTAATAACACCAAATATAACTCGATACAAACGAAGAGGAGAAGTAAAACAAACTATCGATCATATTTTATAAATTAAGCACATTTAAATTGAAACACATAAGCAAGTGAAAACTAATTACAACCATATTATGCAGGCCTTCCCGACCCATTTTTAGACTAGAACTACGCGGGACATAGGTTTTTGATCACGGAATAATACATGCCACTAGATTAATTGGTAATAGATAAAGATTATCTTATTAGGAAACTGACAAGTTGTTGAACAGAAGCTTCTTCTGAAGCCATATAGACCTTAAAACGACTTCGATTTTCAAAAAAATGTTGCAAATGTAAATACCTTAGTCTGCCACATCATTTCGATAAGAACATCATCTTTTGTTTCATCCAGCTCTATGACTGAAGATAAGAAAGGTGAGAAACGGAAGAAAGGTGCAGGCAAAGAGTGAGTCCAAGATTGCGCACGTGAAACGGCGACACCATCAGCAGAGGCAATCTGAAACGAAAATAACCAAACATCACTTCGCTCTGCTCACCTGTTCAATGAGAAGATTTTTCATATGAACCAATGAGTTGATTTTGGTAAATATATCTTTGACATTAGAAAGTGATGGTAGCTCGAGATCGACTTTATCAATTGATACAATAGGAGCTCGTCCCGTACCCAGAGATAAAAGGCAACCCACTTGGACTGCACTCGTTAAACCCTGTAAAGTATTAACTTATTTCATTTTTTGGGTTGCTTACCTTCATTCTGCAAGCGATATTATAATTTTGAACGTCGGTTAGAAGATCACACGAAGGATTGTTTGCAACCAAGCCTCCATCCATCCATTTGCCATCCACTGCGTTGAAATAGGAAGGTGCAGCACTGAACAAATGACTAATGGCATTTCGACAAACAACGAATACCTGGAGCAACGCGCAGCATACCAAGCTAAAGTCTTTGAAGGATCAGAGTCGTCTGATGGTTTTGGAGATTTGTACGAGCGAATAACCTTTGCTTGAGGAGGGTTTACGTTTCCTCGGCATGTGGTCACGAAAATTCTGAACGAAAACGATTTAAGCTGCTGGGAAGACCAAAATACTTCTTGTTTCCTCCGATTTTTTCCATCGTTGTCTCAGCACCATATTCCAACTTCAAAATTTCTTCCAATTTCGATGCATCAAACGGACGAGATCCCGTGAACACATCCTCCTGAATCAAGCCACATAATTTCGGATAAATGATCAAAAAACTTACTTTCAACTTGAAATAGAGATTCCGACAATGACGTGTATCCTTCCCTTGACATAATGCCAAGGCTAGAATAGCTCCAGTGGATGTTCCTGCCATCCAATGGAAGTAAGGCAAAATCGGTTTGCCGGCCCTTCTCTCCAACTCAAGTAGGATCTAGAAACAAGTATCAATTCAAAACTATATACTCCAGTTACTTGAATGAGAACTAATCCGCGTATTCCTCCACCATCGAGTGATAGCAAATTGACGACGTTCACGTTTTTGTCAGAGACTGAGTTCTGATATTCAACAGCAAGTTTTTGGGCAAACTCGTCAAAGGCTAAAGAGTGGCAAATGTTCAGAATATAAATTAACTAGTTTTACCGTTTTCAGCTGCAGGAGGTACAGAAGATGGCAACGAAGCTTGCTTTAGTATTTTCTCGATGTCAGCTCTATAATCTCATATATCCGAAGAACTGAACATGTAACTCACCTCTTCTTAGAAACAGAGGAATGATTGAAAACATCTTCACCTTTTGCATTCTTCAGTTCAATGTTTGCATCAAACAGTAGTAATGCTTTGATAATGACAAAATGTGCGCCCTAAACAGCTACGTGAGCGAAGAAAATATTTTCATCAAACCTGAACAGCTTTCATCAACGGTGTTTCATCTTTCCCATTGAATACGTTAGGGTTTGCTCCAAATGTGAGAAGGCTAGTCACATGGTCAAGGTCTCCTGAAAAGAAGCATAACAATGTTTGGAATAATTATCCTACCTCGCTCAACAGCTGAATGCAATGGAGTGTTTCCTTGATTATCTTTCTTGTCTATGTTAATATGCACTGCACTATTTTTCAAGATTGCAGAGAGGACTTTTTTATCAAGTGACTTGTGCATGACGGTTTTACCGTTGCCATCAACTTGTTCGATGACAGTAGGAGAAACTATTGTTATTAATTCCAAAATTCTGGAAAAGGAATGCAACCGTAATGTGAGTCTGAGGACAATATTTAAACTTGCCTTCCCAAAGACTCTTTATATGGCAAATTTACAACAGCATTAAGCAGAGGTCCTGATTTTAAAGGACCCAATGGCACAGACAATCCTGCAGTTATTTTCTGAATTGTGTACGAAAACAAAAAAATTACCCATCAACAGCTTGACAGTTTCAAAGTTGGAAGCACGGATGGCTAAAGACAAAGGAGAGAGCCCATCCCCATCGAGAACCAAGAGACCAGCATTAAAATTCGGAGAACAGGATAGCTCCTGAGGAAAGAGATTGGAATATGTGGAGGCATGAATTATACCTGAAGGATTGCTACATCCGAAACAGCGGCCCAATGAACAACAGTTCGGCCAAGAGCATCTTGCTGATGTAGAGGAGCTCCTAAAGAATAAGATCAGAGGTATAAAACTGACACTGAAAACCTTCTTTAAGAAGTAGTTGAAGAACTGCTATTTGATTTTTCTCAGCGGCAATATTCAGTGGAAGCTTACCATCACAAGTAGCATGATTGAATACTCTGAATATACAGTAAGTTTGCGATTCGAACAAATGAAAACTACAGTTCTTTATCCTTTTGAAGCATTGTAGTCAAGTAAGGAATGATTCCACAAGCTACTGCATAATGCAAAGTTGACCAGTCCGGCTCTTCCCAAACTATTTTCATCAAATTCTCGAGATTAGAACCTGCTCAGGAAAATGTAATAATTCACGACATATTTCAAGTGTTATTACCGTGTACAGACCCTAATGGATTCAGTTTGGCACATAGTTGTCTCACAAGTTTCTCATCGGTGGATTTATAAACTGACTAAAAGGGCAATATCAACATTTTAATCCCAGTGAGGTACAACCTGTGATCCCGGGATAAAAATGGCATAAAAACAAGGTCCGTTCGAATTAGACTCGGAATGGCAAGAAAAATTGGTTAAATTATCCAACTTCAGCATTTTTTTCAATCTACTTTCTGATATTTTCTCGATCTGAACTCATCGTTTATAAACTGAAGGCACAACAGATAATACACCTCATTTGGTTTTTCTTTCGACTGCTGTGATTTGAATTCTTGGTAATATTGTGTTGCCGTATTGAGAAGTTGTGAAGATTGCCTCACAGCTTTCAAGAAATCCATCTAAAACATGTATGTATAATCACCAAAAAGTACAATCAGGTAAGTATAGGAGCATGAGCCTAGAAGTGTTAGTGAAATAATCATATAAAACCGTTTAATCCCTTTCCAATACACCCAATATTGGTCACACGTAAAAATCTATACAACTAGAAATCTAATTGATGCTCTTATATTATAATGGTTATAAAAATTATCGCTTAGAATCACAAAAGGGAATAGCGCCATGACTGATATTTGTCAGATATGAGAAGAGTACAAGTATTTACATACAATATTTAAAAACTTATGACGGGAAAATTGGAATTAGTAATTGGAAAGCTTGTTGTACAAGCTCTACAGCAGAGCTAACTTCGACATTAAGTAAAGTAGAGTTCGCATCCGCCTGAATGAAAAAAATGAAATGCGATTTAAACTGACAACTCACGTTATCGTCGTAGAAGTTGAGTACTTCCACATAGCGATCTCCTATATAAGTTATTCTCTGTGCTAATAGTTTGAACAAATCAATGAACAGCGTCCAATTCACAGATGTTTCAGGAAGTAACATCAACTGAGCTAGTTTACTAATGACCTTAAGAGACTAAGAGTTTGTACGACCAATCTACGTTATCTCACCTGAATTGAAGCATTTAAAAACTCAACTAATGCTTTTACACAGTCGCCTAACAACTCTTCCGATGTTTTATTATCACAGAAATCTAATGCAGCGGTCAAGCTCTATTAAAAAAAGGTTATTTTATCATAAAAAGAAGCCGTCTTACTTCATCGGTTGAAACTAATCCTCGGGGATCATATGGAAGGCCTATACGTTGAATTATTTTCCGCAGCTCGATGCCAAACTCTCCAGAAAAAGCGTCATCCGTATTGATCGCTTTCATAGCAGCCAGAAACTTTCTAACAACAAAGTTAACTTTAGGAAAAACTACCTTACCCCTCTAAAGCCAACGCTGGTTTTTGCAATTTGGTTGAAAGCATCTCCAAGGTTTCATAATTTAAGTAGCCATCATTCCTCTTGAATAAGCTAACCACATCTTTGCTTGCCTTTAATGAATTATCAAACGTGCTTAAATTTTTTTGTGGGAGTATCATACCGATGTTGTGGACCCTACACCACCCATTGATATCAAATTGGCTATTTCCTCATTATCCCTCCTCTCTTTCAAGATATCAGAGAGGTTAGAATTATCAGAATTTTCCGTGAAACGTAAGCGGCGGTTACCTTGTGCCTGAAGTTATGAAATGAATATAGCTAGAGAATAAATCACATACTGGATCTTTCACAGTTACTGCTTCGAAAGTTTTCTTTCCAATGTTCTCTAGGACGTCAATCCCCCCACTCAGAATTCCAGAAAATAAACCGAAACCAGCTCCTTGGTTTTGCAAGTCATTCTGTGTAGGTTGGGCTGACTCCTGGAACATAGATAATTTATAATTAAGTCAATAGTGGAATCAAAAAACCTCAGCATGCTCTTCTTTGTTCTTATCTACATTGGCATCGTCCGCTTCTTTAGCTTTCTTGGCTAGTTCTTCAGCCGAGGGAAGTCCCAAGGTGTTCTCAACTGCACTAGAGAACGTTTCACCTCAAAATTACCATTTAAAACAAAGGACTGAGAGATTCAAACCTATGGCAGACGCTATTCCTCCCCATCCCCATCCTTGATTAGGTTTTTGAGTTACTTCGTTCAATTTATCGAACACTCTATTTGGCAGAACGGAATTAATCGAGCCGAATAGAAGAAGCCTACCTATTCATTTCCTCAGAAGTTTGAGCAGCCCTAAGCTTCTTTTCATCGATCAGACTCCATTCTCTGCAAGAAACAATTTGGATATTGAAACAAGTTAGTACCCTACGCCTCATTGGGAACGCCTTTTGTTTTGACATCGGAAGATGTGTCGAACTCATCACCCCAATCGCCCCAATCGGAACTGTTGGGTTCCTCAACCTAGAAAACAAATATTGAAAGAGAGAACAGTAGTACCGAAAATGCTTTCAGATAAACAGGCAAATGTGAAAGTGATTTGAAAAAGGACGCCACATTCAAACTGCGTGTATGCTAATTTCAAGAAAATCCACGTACGCTAATTGGACGCGTCGTGGGTACAACAACAAAACAAAATTAACTAACGTTTTCTTCAGTCTTTTTGTCTTCTTGCCAAGCATTCTCTGTCTGTTTTTTTTGCTGTTCTTCCTCGGCTTCATGAACTTGGACCTCAGGTTCAGGCGTTTTAGTATCTTCGAATGTAGCAACTGGTGTATCAGACTTCAGTTCAGCGTCCTGAAATAAGTTATGTGAATGTCAAATGAGCGGATTACCTCGTCTGACTGGGGGCTACCACTACTCCTTGAGATTTCTAAATCTTCAGCTTCCTACGAAATTCAACAATGATGCTAATTTTGCGAGCAAACGTTACCTTGATGATTTCATTCAGGAGAATTTTCTTATCTTCGGTCAAACTAGCAACAGAAGATTGGCTACTTGGAACATCCACGATTTGAATATTAGAATCCTATAATCACTCAAATCAAAAACTAATTTAAATCAAAACCTAACCTCGCTTGACTGTGATCTTTTCATGCAATCATCTTCTGCACATGAAGTACTGCTGATAGTAGCACTCAATTCTATATCCGTGCTTTCGGCAAGAGAATCGCTATCTGCAGTAGCAGTAGCTGAGGCAGTATCCTAAAATATGAAATACGCGAAAGAAACAATGAAAAACAAACTTCCTGTACAGGTTTTACATCTTCTGGAACTTTCTGGTCTTCGTTATCAGATAATTCCCCTTCAGAAGCACTTAGGAATTCCTCATCTTCCGAATCACACATCTATATAAGGAAGTAAAGGAAAATCATAATAGTGTGTTAAAGTACAGAAAAGATTAAGAACAACATAAATACTGAAAGATAAAACAGCGAAGAAGATGAGGCAAGCAGAAGCGTGAATCATGTGACCAACCATTTTTGAAGAAAACTCGCTATGGAAGGGACGCATTGACATAAGTGAATAAAACAAAAATGATAAGTGCATGATAACAATAGAACTCAATCCTCCCTAGGCTTCGTTATCGTCGTGATTGATTCGATTGAAATAACACCAAGCAGAACATAAAAATATTTGCTCGTTTCCAAAAAACGCATTGTACTAACGTTTTTGGAGTGCAGAAGACGATTTAACCACATGACGTGTCTGCACCATTATGAAACAGAAGCGAAATGCTTGACAGAGATGACTATAAAACCATAAATCAGAGTTAACAATCTTTTATTGCTTGTTATAAGGGATTTCAGGACAGCACACAAGCAATAAGAAGCCTTGTTGACGTGTAAATTAGAATAAATCCAACTTCTTTGGGCGTGTGACCATAGAGCACGTTTGCAATCAATACGCTGAAATCTGTTTAATCCCAAACGTTTCGGAATCCTATGTAATGCATTATGACCATCTCATCATCATTCGATTTGGAGGATTTATTAATATAATATTCGCTTCCTCATTTCAAATGCTACATTGAAGAACTACATTCTGGAAGAGTAGGTCAAAGGACAACACCAAACTGAACTTCTTTTCGTTTTCAATGCTGACAATTCATCGGGAGTATTATTACCCGAGAACTCGTAACCCATCCTATTTAACGAAGTATATTCAAGTCGTTGTAATTAGTTCATTCCAGCAATCGTCATCATTTCCTTACTTTCATTGTTGAAGACGGTTTTCTGCTCCTAACCTCTCCAACACATTGTTCGATTGTTTTTTTCTTTCTAAAAATAGTTTATGACACTTATTGTTAATGTGCAATCGATTGTGTTAGAAATAAATTTCATCAAAATTGATTTGAATACGTCTGTCGTCGAACCAATCCACGTGTGTGATTTTCATTTTTGCTCAAGCAATGGCACAGACCGGTTGGGTTCGACAAAGTTTAATTCTGAAAAAATGAAGAAAGTTTCTTTGTTTTTCCACAAAGTGATCTCCGATATGATTAGCTGTTTAAGAATTCGTCAAAATTTGACGTTTGATCGTGGCGGAAGGTAAAGGGTTACTGCAGAACCTGACGAAGGGAATCTTTGCGGAATCTTGACTGAGAGATGGTCAGACGCTTCGAGTATACGATGAAACTTAAACAGGTTTATATATTTTCAATACAGTTAGTACAAAACGTCACGGGAAGCTGATAAACAGCCTTGCCAAGGCCGTGTATTGCCGAGTCTATGATACAAATCGAACATGCCATTCGTGTAAAGCTGAACGTTTTTATTCATTTTCTTCTGTTTTTCTCTTTCTCCTCATGATCAGAGCATGAATCGTGATAACTCAATGCATACTAGCCTGTTACAGAAATGCTGAAGGCTCCCAGTTTGATGAAGTCAATTTTTTATGTTTTCGTCCTTCTTGTTCTTCGCAAGATTGCTATTGCTTTGATTGCCATGAATACAGTTCGAATACATTCATCGGAAGTGAGCTACGAGGCCATGGTACGAAAACAAAAACATATTTTGTATCATTTTCGTTATTAGATCATGTCGAAATCGTTTCGAGAAGTTGTGGGATCGTTGCCAGACAATCAAGAAACGCTTGTTCTTATTCTAAACAAGCACGCGCTTAATATGACCTTCAATTGGTTATGTAACACCAAGCATTTCTCAGGTATCCCTCAGCCGATAACTCTTTTGATCTCTTCTATTTTCCGGTGTACATGAGAATTCGTTGATAGTTACGTTAGATTCTGAAGCAACAGAAGAGATACGCAAGCATTGGTCTGATATTCGCATTTTAGAATGGGTGGTACCTGGACTAGCTGTAAGTTTCCCGTTCTCGTTCTGTTATCCCAAGTATCTTCCTTTGTTTACTTGTCCAACTGGACGAACTTTCGAATAACTAATAAAATAATGAACAGGATCCTTTCAATTACGGCGATGGCTTTTATCAGCTGTTTTATCTGTTCCGCTCAAATTTGGCCAGAGCTCTACTCTCAATGAATAGAACGTTCTGGATGATACAACAGGTACAATTTGGTCTCTAGAAATTGCTGAAATCAAATTAAGGACACATACTGGGCAGACAATTTACTCAGCATGAATCTCAACTCATCTAGCACTGACATTCTATTCGATCGAGCATCCGAAAACGGGCCACTGATAGCTGGTGCGTAAATAGACTGGTGCTCCTATGAACTGTTTTGTTCAGGTGGTTATTATCGAGCACGCCCCACCCAGCCATCTTTGGAATACTTCAATAAACTATCCAACGATATCTCCTGGTGGTATGCTCCAGATAATGCTTACATGACATCGTTATGCCAAATTGGGAACTTGGCTGCTTGCGGTGGCTTGCCCTTCAGGTGCATCTATAGATCAAAATTAATGAGTTAAAAAACAATTAAAGATTGATTACGAACTGGCAATGGCTTGATTCATCCTCGACCTTGCCGCCTCCATCTCTTATTCAGTTTGACGGTGAAACACAACTTGGTGGTAAATTGGGAAAGGTGAGATAAAAACTTTGGCGGAGCTTCACTCTCTCAATTCCAGATGAGACATCTCGGATTCTATTTCATGGAAGAAGACGGTAGGACATGTAACCCTAAATCTATAGAGGTATAAAACAAGAATTTAATGAGTTATACAAGCGTTTTTCAGACTGCTTCAAACGCCTTAAAAACGAAAGTGACTCCAGTATCTTCATACAGTCGTTCACAATTCAAAATGTACCAGAATATAGTTGATTCTCTGTACAGCAACACGATAACTGCTTGGCTGTTGAACCGATGGATTCTTCCCTACGCTCACTTCTGTATGCTTTCTCTATGATCTCTTTGCTACTTGATGATTTTTATCCTGTAGGCGAATCCATTAATAATAAAGATATGAAAGTTCAAGTCGTACTGCTCTTTACAACGATGATGTTTTCTGTCTAATTACAACTTATCTTTCCTTGGGACAACAAAAATCCGATAAAATATTGTCAGTTTTCCGTTTGACATGTGGTTCTGATAAGGAAATCACAAGAATCCTGAAAGTGGGAGTTGTTCTTCAAACTAGAGCAAACTATTTGATCGATAGGTCAAACATTTCCAGGCTTCACAGATTCATCAAGTTCATGGAGTGATGGCGCGAATCGAGCATATAAGTATGATACGATATTTGCCATAAGATTATAGATGACGTTGTAGACTATTCTGAGCCTGGAAGGAACGAAAGTAAAAATGAAAAACTCGGTAAATCTACTTTACCACGTGTATCCATGGTAGATAAGACATTCCTTTTATTATCTTAAGAAGTGTGATAATCGGAAACAAAAGAAAAAATGTTGAAGAAGCTCCTCGTTCAGCCTAGTTTGATAAGAAATTTTCTAAAATAGGAGGAGTCTATGGATTTTCTGAATTTTCTTCGATTCATTATCAACTCTGTTCATAGAGAAAGAGCTTTGCCCTGTTCTTTGTTTTTATATTTTTGTTTTCTAGTATGAAACATCTTACTCTTCTTGGCATTGTGGCAGCAGTGTTGGCTGTGAGCTATGCAGCAGTCCTTCCCTCACCGACCAAAGTTGGTATTGAGCATGTGGGAAAGCAAAAAGTGAGTAGCAATTGAATATAGATGATCCGTTGCTTTAGCTCGTCAGGTATATGAGAGCTGAGGCTGCTAAGCCTGAAAATGCTTTCTTGTCTTGTTTCGCTTGCACAATCACCGTCGACGGACTTCAGGATATGTTGAAGCAAAACAAGACAGACAATGAAATCGCAGCATTTTTAACGTAAAGAAGCAAGTGACTCCTTTTACTCATGCTCATCTATTACAGAAGTATCTGCGATTTACTTAATGTGGAACAGCCACACGTGTGCTATCACATCATGAAAGCGTTCCAAGTAAGTAAACATGTTCAACCTACGACCGCTCACGCAACTCGAACATTCAAAATGAAATTATTTTACCTCATTTTCTTTGTTGACTGCGGTTTTCATTTTTAAATTCTTCTAGCAAGGGGCAGTTGCGCAACCCGATTGTTAGCTTTCCGAATGAAGTTGTTGATTTCAGGATGAGGTCGTCTTTGTTCTGGAAAGAACTGTATTCACACCAGATGAGATATGTGGAGCTTTTGTGAAAGACTGTGGCCAATCAGTTAATCCTTTCCATGTTATGTGGAATATCACAATCCCAGGCAACAAACCACCCGTGAAGCCTTGGCCCAAAATTCCAGTCAGTTCTTCTGTTAAATCTGAAATTAAAAACAGCTTCACAGGATGGAAAACCAACTTACAAGTTTTTACAATTGTCCGATATTCATATTGATCGCCAATATGCTGAAGGTAGTGAAGCTTACTGCGAGGTTGATGATATAGAAGGCACTTATGCAATGTGCTGCAGAAATTATGCTGATGATGCTCCTGCTCACAGTTCTCGCAAAGACAGTAAGCTTTGTGGAACAACTCCTTTAAGTATTTGATGAATGTAGAGCCTGTCTTCATCCCGGCTGGAAAGTGGGGAATGCCATTCCTCTGTGACATACCTTATAGAACTTTTGAATCAAGCATGAAGCACATAAGTCAAGCTCACAAAGACGTACGCATATTCCTTATCTTCAAATTATACAATGCGTTTAGCTGGACTACATCATCATCACTGGAGATTTTGAGGCTCACGACTCTTGGGATTACACAGTAGATTTGACCAAAAGCAACATTCAGGTACAAACGACTAGATATAGATTCACAGCGACTTGTCTTAGAACGTAACAAACGTCTTGTTGAAATATTTCCCTAAAACACCTGTGTATGTATCTATTGGAAATCACGAAGCAGTACCTCAAGATGCGTAAGACCTTCTCTAATAAGAGATCCCTCATGTTTGTTACAGTATGGCACCTCACACCATGGCCGAGTATAACCAACGTGGGCCACAATGGCTTTACAGTATAATGAAAGATATGTGGGCTCATTGGATTCCTACTTCTGCTTTGCCTGATGTTCAATAGTTAGTCCCTTCACGGAGTAGTATCACATCAATCATTGTAGCCGTGCTTCATACTCCGTTCGTCCCAAACCTGGATTGAAACTCATATCGTTAAACACGATATACTGCTCAGAATTCAACTTGTAAGTCTGAAAATAACAAAATAAATAAATGAAATATTCTTAGCTACTTATACATTGATCAAACTGATCCCGACAGCACTTTGGAATGGCTGATTGAACAGCTCCAAGATTCTGAATCCAAAGGAGAGAAAGTTAGTCGTTCAGGATATTCTAAAACTTACTGTGATGCTTGCAGGTTCACATAATCTCGCACATTCCCCCCGGAGATGATTATTGCTTGAAAGGATGGTCTTGGAACTTTTTTGAGATCATCAGACGCTATGAGGGCACAGTTGCTCAAATGTATTATGGTCATACCCACTACGATCATTTCCAAGTATTCACACTTCGTATACAACGACATCTTCAACCTCATATTTCAGGTTCTTTATGAGTCTGCCAACCCCAACACTCGTCCCTTCCATATGAATTGGATTAGTCCATCCATCACAACTTACAGTTTTTCTAACCCATCATACAGAATATATACAGTAGATGGAGGTTATGCTGGTGCCACATATGTAGAGAAACCATTCCAACTTGAAAGTCATCTCTACCCTTTTCCAGACAACCAAGGATGTAGAGACATACAGTACTGATGTTGAAGAAGCTAACAAGAGTGGAAAAGAGCCAGTTTACACATTGGAATACAACTACAGAGTAACTTATTTTGGAAAGACTACCTTTTTTCAATGAAATTCTTTAGCAATTCTATAACATGACGGACTTATCTCCACAGTCATTCAGTGAGCTCTCTGATCGCTTATACAACGACCCCGAACTGTTCAAACGCTTTTTACGGTAAAATACGGGAGTGGGGACAATAATATTATTATAACATGTACTGTTACAGATTCTACTGGAGAAATCCTCATGACAATGAATGCTACTCATCAAAGGAATGCAGGAAGAAGTTCGTGTGCCCAATGAAGACAGGTCGAAGCTATGACGAAAGCTTCTGCACAGGACTTAACTAACAAGAGGAAGCATGCAGAAGGTGTATATGAACTCTAAAAGACTTGACAAAAAACTAAAATAAATCTAATAGTATGAAAACGAAATGAAAAACCGGAAATCAATTGTTGACAACTTTCATTCGTCAGGGTCATGACCATCGATCAAACTACAAACTAAATTCCCCAAACTATTGCTCCTATTTAATCAATATTATTATTTATTATTATTCAAAAACCTTATGCAGTAGTAGTAGTAGTATAACAACTGATGTCACTGTTGTGCCCTTTAAGGCAATAAAGTTGATGATTATTGATAAATGCAGATGCATGTGACAGCCATACACATATGAGCGTCTCCTTCATTTCGTGACTTTTCCAATATTTTTTTTTGTGAAAAGAGAAGAATGATATTGTAAAAAGAGAATTCCTATACTCAACGTGTCTCTGTCTAGAGCATATAAAGGTTAATCAGAAACTACGAAGTTTATTCGAAAGAAGATAAAGGCTTGTGGCTCTTATCAAACATGCTTATCGTCTTTCGTAAAGAGATGAAGCCAAATCATTCATGTCTTCAGTTGTTCTCTCTTTTTCCTTAACTACTTCTATTCAATACTTCTCTCTCACTCTCTTCATCCTCTCTATCTTCTTCTTCTTCCGGAAATAACAAAATGTATTAACAAAGTATAGCCATGGAATCAAATGATGACAATGGAGAATCGTACAAGAAGGAATGTCGAATATGTTTCGATTCGTCTGATGGAATTCATTTTGGAATATACAGTTGCAGGTACTTGCAATCAGTAAAATTAAATATGAAACTGATACAATCATCAATTACATCTTTAAGGGCATGTGCAGCATTTTTTCGCCGAACTGTATCTATGAAGCTGGAATACAAGTGTAGAGGTGCTCAACAATGTCCCATTGAGAGAGGTTCGTGTAATTTCCACACAGGAAGATTTTCGTTCTTCCTTTAGCGCAAAGAAACATGTGTAGGCATTGCAGGTTTGAGAAATGCTTACAAGAAGGCATGAAAATAGCAGGTGAATCACTTTTAATCCAACATAGCTTAGTCAACTTAGCTTTACAGCTGTTCAGAATTTTCGCGACGGTATTGGTAAACGAAAACTTTCCAATACAGTTGAGGTGGATGAACTCAAAAAACGTAGTAACGTCCAGATCGCTAGCATACCATGTTCATCAATGACACAGGTGACATCATCGGATGATGTACCAAAGGCATCATCGTCTGTAAGTAATGCTGTGATCCTATGAGAAATCAATAACAGAACTTAGGAAATCAGTTTGTCTGAGAATAGTCGGAATACAGTCGGCACTTTGAAAATCTTACAGAAGATGCACGAAGGTTATCTCAAATGTTGTTAACATAGATCAAACCTAACTCCGACTCTATTGCAGGCTACTTGCACTTCCTAACAATACGTAAAGCGACAAATGCGATGCTCACTACGGATATCAGCAATCTGGACATATTCGGACATCAAAAAGTAACTTTCAACCTATAATATTTGAAAAAGTGCGCGAAAACAGTTGGTGTTGTTCTTTGATCACGTACCCATAGAGGTCAAGTCTTACAAAAAGATAAAGTCACAGGGTTATGATCCGAGTATAGGAACCGACACTGAATGAATTATATTTTGCAGGAATTGCAAGAATCAAACTTCGATGCTTGTAAGAAAGTTTGTCAATGGGAAGCGAGACTGATAAATGACATAATTAATACATATTTTCATCCTTTTACAAATTTAGGGATTGAGGAGAAGGTAATGGTATTGTCGCATTTCAATTTTTATTTTCTCAGAACGAGCTTTTTCGAAGCTTTTTCTGCTACTTCACACACACCGATCCTGCTTATCAATCATTCAAAAAATTTGGCCATGAAGAGGGTTAATCGGATTTCCCGCAAGATACAAGTAATTTTGAATATCTACAGGAAACGATAGGTTACTTATGCCTGATGGTGGTTACATCAAATGTAGTGAATTGGAAAAGTTTTATGTTAACTCAACAATGGTCCATGGGACACCTGAAGAAACGGCGAAGTTCTCAAAGATATACATACTTTCACTTAAATTTTCATTCACCAGAATTTTCCGACCAGCAATGCAATATATGGTCATTGTCATAATTGGTCATATGAAGAGAATCCATATAACTGAAATTGAATATGTTGCTCTGCTGGGGCTCTTTCTCTGGAACGATGGTGGGTTGCCAACTATTTAATACTCGTATTCATTTAATCAAAATGACCTGATCAAGAAGGAGAACATCCTTCCCTGTAGAGGATATATCGAGAAATAGGGCCAGACTGGGTACACAGGTTAAATTATCCCGGTCCGACAGAGGGACCTCTCACACCTAGAACCATACTAAACTACAAATATTGGCTCAACGTGATCTATGTGGATCTCAGTAGAGTATCCTGTCAATAATTGGAATTTTTTGAAACGGTGGGTCACTAAAACTGTGGGCCGAACCGGGAATTGAACCCGGGACCTCTCGCACCCGAAGCGAGAATCATACCCCTAGACCATTCGGCCACATTTAAAGCAAAAATGGGTACCCAAACGCGGTCAATAATTGAAAACAGCCGTTTTTGGAAAGATTTCAAAGGACTTTAGCCATTACATATCACTTTTTACTGGGGCCCCATCATAATAGCTAGCCACTGATGGGTACATGGAGTGCAGAACATAAAATGCTGGGCCGAACCGGGAATTGAACCCGGGACCTCTCGCACCCGAAGCGAGAATCATACCCCTAGACCATTCGGCCACATTAAATACGCTTTTACGCTTTTCGGATCCGCCCCACAGCGAAAACATACTACTAATGTTTATGGGATGCACCAGCACATCTAAAATTGGGCCGAACCGGGAATTGAACCCGGGACCTCTCGCACCCGAAGCGAGAATCATACCCCTAGACCATTCGGCCACATTAAATAAAGAATGGGTAAATCGCTCCCGGTTAGTATTCAGGGAAGAAGCCAATTAAATTTTTATAAGTAACACCTGAAAAAAAATTGTATAAGTAACATCCAATGACTACTAACATTTCTATTCAAGCCTTTTTCATGAATCCCCGAAGTGCCCCACCACGAAAACTGGTCCCAAACGAGTCTCAGACGTCCCAGAACGTAAAATTTTGGGCCGAACCGGGATTTGAACCCGGGACCTCTCGCACCCAAAGCGAGAATCATACCCCTAGACCATTCGGCCACATTTACCCAGTTTCCATGCATCCCCGAAGTGCCCCACCACGAAAACTGGTCCCAAACGAGTCTGAGACGTCCCAGAACGTAAAATGTTGGGCCGAACCGGGATTTGAACCCGGGACCTCTCGCACCCAAAGCGAGAATCATACCCCTAGACCATTCGGCCACATTAGATATGATTCAATCTTGTTAGATCCATTCATCAAGATATGCGTCATCTCGCTCTTATCGAGAAATTAATCAGCGCATACTGGGTTGATCCAGTTCCTTCTCATCGAATGGGTTTATCATATCTGTTTCACAGAATGAGAACCACGAGAATATCCATTTACTTTCTGAATACTTTGTTTTCCAGCGACTCTCTCGTTATCAATGGAGACAGTTGGAATGATTCACGATACTCAAACAATGATACTTAATGATCTCCATAACTATTACAGGTACGTCATTCGAGAAAGGGAGAGCTCGTTCATGCGCTTTTTGGATTTATTCCTCAAAAGGTCTCAGAGTGTTTTTCGAGATGACCCGATACTGTGCTCATAAAATATACTTTTTCTAATAAGCTCCGCGTAACCATGGGCACATCTCAAAAAAAGTAATGTTGGTTACTCATGAACGATCTACTCAAACATTTGAGCAGCCGGATTGAGATACATTACTGTTTCAGATCCCAATTACTAACTGAATCTGAAATAACACGGAAGACTGGTGAACTAATGCTCTTATTACCCAAACTCACGGTATGTACCTAATTCATTTTGTGGACCATCGAAACTCGTTAAATTCAGAGATCTGTGTTCATGCTTCGAGAGAACTCGTATCTTGGTGAGATTTTCGATTTGTTCGAAGCAGATATCTGTTGTAAGAACATCAACTCCTATGGAGCTGTTTAAAAGGATTGAAATGTGGAAACGGCTGAACAGATGAACTTATTATTGTCAAAAATCTATATAAGATGAAAAAAATGAAACATAAACATCAGCAGTTCATTCCGTTAAGTCAAAACAACTCAATCTTCATACTCATAGTATGGTATAGGGGGTAACAGGAAGTGGGTACGTTTGTCCTTATAATCCTTAGCTGGAGCATACTGTGGTAGATGCTGATAAAGTCCATACATACGCTTTGCCTGGAAAATGAAGGAATGCAAGCAGAAAGTTGAAAATTCAGAACAACAGAGATATGTGGAGTATGTGCCCTTTCCCCCCTCTTGAAACATGAAATCTTGTAATGAGATTGTGGGTGGTTCAATTTAGATTTATTCCGAGATTTCAATTTCTTATTTTGACAAACATGCAGAATCAAAAGTGGAAAAGCTCAGTGGCCTTTTAAAGGCAGTTAACTCCGCAGTTGAAGATAGGATTACATTTGTAAGAACGCAGAGTATCTATCAATCTAGTTCAAACAAGAGAAGCCTTAAGAATCAAAAATTTTGATTCAACGACTGAGATTCTAATGAAGTTCCAATTGATAACTAGATTATTAGTTATAAATAGCACAGCTTAGTTCCGAAAGAAGACCTCCGTTTAAAATTCAAAAACCCATATTGTGATGCCTTTTTTTGTTTTTGGCTTGGGAATCTACTTTAATTTTCGAATATAATTTACATAATGCGGAAAAGATCGAACAGCTTCAGCTTAAGTAGAGTGAAAAACATACGAAAAGTGCTCTCATATGAGAGTGGACGTTATCTTAGCTTAACCTTATTCCTATTCGTTACACCCCAATCGTTCTAAGCTGATAAAAACGTCATATATATAACTTACTGGAGATAATGGCAGTACGTTCCAGATGCTATGAACAGGCGATGATTGACAAATTTGAAGAAGAAGGGAGAAAACAAGAATTCCTTAATGAATAATAATTATAAGCGATAGAGCTCATGCACCTACCAACAGTAAAGCACCGCATGTTTAAATAGTTTGGGCTCAAAAACGATTAGTTAAACTCACAAGCCTTATTGAAGCTTAAAAAGTCTTGTGCCTGATCCTATCTTGGAGATATTGCTCCGCCTCCTGTGTTTTAGCCGGCTTTGGCTCCGCCCGATCATCTCTGTTTGACTTATTCGTATATCACAAGTTATCTGAGAGAGAGAGAAACAAATCGGCTGGAAATGATGTTTTAAACTGTCGATAAAACCTCCGGGAGGTAAAATGCGTCTGTTGAAAGCTGAAACGACGATAAGCTCTTTATCCGATAAAGATTTGAAGCTTAGCAGTGATCAGAGCAGTCTTTTTTTCTGAAACCAAAAAGTTTTCAGCATGCATGCAGACAAACAGCAAGATCTCACTTACCTATCAAATCATCGTCCCAAGTTCATTCTATCAAATCATCTATAGATGAGATTGTGCTGAAGGTATCTGATTCAGAACACAGAGATTGAAGTTATTTCCGCCTTCCTCATCTCCTTTCACATTGACGCAGGCATGTTTTTTCTTTTCTTCCTTCAAATTGCCATTACAATCAGATTATTTTATAAGACGAGTCGTTAATTAACAGAAAAAAACCTTTTTGCTTCCATTTTCGTTTCTCAATCTTCGTCTCAAAATTTAACATTTCGCTCCATCAGTGTTTTCGGGATTTAAAGATAGAAAACAACGTGTTGTTGATATGGATGTCTATCACAGACAATAACAACTTACAAGAAATGGTTTTTCATGGAGACTCACATTCACACACACACGCACGCACACCTACCTCTAACACCTCATAGACCATGTGATTCACTCAAATTTACTCCTAATGACTCAGGAAGTACACAAAATCATTTCATTCATTGACGGCGTCATTAAAATTTGTTCGTATTTCAAACTATGCTTACACTCCTATGCAAGAAATTCAGATTAGAAGCCTGATTGTGAACCAGTACATAGGTTTGAAGTCCTATTTATGGCCAATTTAAAGATTGTATTGAAAATAAAATTGTCCTGCTGAAGCCAATTTCAATGTGAAAATCATTGTACCTCAAGCTCTCTGCATAGCTAATCGAGATGTGGAGGACTAGCGTTTCTCATGAAAATTGAAAAATAAGTTTAGAAATTCAGTTTTTTTTTGTAATTAATCTACTTTTATGGAATGCAGTCTTGTTTACTTAAATATGGACGAAAATAAGATATAAATTACAAATTTCTATTCAAAAAACATTGAGCAAAATTGAAAAATTAAATTATTGTGTTAAGCTTAATACAGAGAGTCTTGGATGAAATGATGAAACGCTTGTACTCACACATGAATTATTCATATAAACAACAGTAAAAGGGGAAATGACCCTAGTTGAATCCGCATTTACGAAAAAAACAAGAGCAAATTGAGTGGACGTACACGAGAAGACCGAGTTCGTGGAACAAAAAAAAAAGAGAAAAAAAAAGAACGTTAAAAGGAAATGACCAGCTGCTTGCTGCTTGGGTACAACCGTTCTGTGCTTGTGCAGACAGAGAAGTGATTTTCGAATACGTAATTTGGCGCGTGAAAAATTAGAATACAATACGTGATTGCGGTGTTGTTGTCAATTAGCTATCGTCAATTAAGCAGTTCAACATACTTTGCTATTCCGATTAAAGAACTCTCAGTAATTACCTTTGCTTGAACGATTAAGCATCATAAGGAAGAACATGAATAATTAATGTAAAAAGGCAAGATCATTGAATATTCATTCTATTATTAACAGATTATGGTCATAAAAACAAATTCGAATACTTTCGGACTTTTGATCTCATAGAGATCAAGATCAAACTACACGTACTCATTTGTGTTTTCACTCAATTCTCCATTAATACAGTACTTATCTAATATCTACAAAAGTTTGTGACGTCACATACGACCTCGATACAAATGACCAGAACCTGATTATAAATGGAACATTTTTTAAACTATTTTTGTTCCATCAACTACGTCATCACCTTCTTGCAGACAATGCCTCATGGTTGTCACGAAACTAATTGAATATAAAAATATTTGTTGAGAAAAAAACTGGATTATTTATTTTCTTTTTTTTTGTTTTCCTCAGCTATCTATCACCACCCAAAGATCTATGGCCATCATCGTGAATTCTTTATCTTTGAGTTATTTCCAATTTGAAAAGTGCGGATACTAATGGAAGCTTCCGGCTTTCGTTAAGTTTGAACCGATATTTCATCAAATGACCACATCATGCATCCCCATAGTAATTGAAATTAATGTCCCTCCGTTTGCTAAATGAAATTTAAGTGTGCAAAGATGAGTTGTGATATCATTGGGATATATTTGGATGTGATATGATACCATTGAATGATGAGAAGGCATATGTTTCATTTGTCCGTATTGGCTGAGTAAAGTGATTGCAGACAACAACGGTGGCAGATGAGAATGCATTTGAGATTAAATGAGAGAATCACTCATATTTGGGCGTAAATACATGTATGTAAACTAATTCAACGAATGTTCCTGCGGTATCTCTCCTCCCCCTCCATTTCATATTTTATTTTATTTTTTTATTATAAAAATTGGATAAAAAATGAGTTTGGTCGGACTTATATATAGTTAACCTTCAAACAAAGCAGACTTGCCAATCGAAGATGTGTGTTCTAGACTGATGGGAAGCTTCAAGTGAAATGGAAGCCAATGAATGGCAACGGAAGGTTTCTGATGAGCATGGCCACCCACCTTGTCTCAAATTTGACATTTCTCCTTGGAGCAGTAGAGTTAAGCATGAAGTGTCATAGATGACAAACTTAATTTCTTGTTAATCTCTCATCTTCTCGAGCAAAAGATAATCCCTTGCCAGCCCGTGGTGTATCTCATTGTATGCTACGTCAATTTAATCGAATATTTTGCTTCTTAATAGAGCTCGAGAGTTAGATATTCAATGTGACATCACTTAACATGAACGCATTTCCTTATAGATCCTAAACTACTCATATACGAAATAATAAAAAGGAGGATGAGACTCATTCTCTCCTAACTAAGTTCTTCAATCATTAATATTACAAAATATTTTCTGAATTAAAATGAAATATTCATAATTTGCTCCGTCATTGTAAAGCTTAACTAGCTGTTCTTCATTTGTAACCAAAAAAAACATTCAGCTGTTCGTCTCTTTCTGTAAATGCCCCCCCCCCCTTCTCTTGTCTCCTTTCTGTTACCCATAGCCCTTTATTCAAGATATCTTAGCAAGTCAGTTATAATCTGTTTCTAGCGTTCCTATGTATTCTTCAGTTCGTTCAGATCAGCTCTGAGACTGATTCATTATGAGAAACACCTTGTTGTTTATTTGTTCCAAAGGCTTTAAGGGTTTCCGCATTTTTTTAGAACTCAACTGAGACATTTTCCATAACATTGAATAATCTCGCATGAAGAACGGCTGACATGTGATCCCCTTATGACAGGCGGAGTTTCCAAACTTCTTCAGCTTTCTTCTTAATAATGCTTAATCCACAAGAGCAAGTTGGCTACTGTATGTTTTAACTTTCACTCTCTTCTATGAAAACAGTCATGATTAGAAACTTTCAAGTTGAATAAGCTAAATTGTTTTGCGAACGATGGAACAGTAGCAAACTTCCTTCTGCGTCCTCCGAAAAAAACTTGAAGTATATTCTCCACCCCCTCACTGCATGTGAATATAAACCGTAAATGGCGGCCAGATTGTTAGTGTTTATGAAATTTCTTATTTGGCTTCTTGATGTCATTCTTCAAACAATCTCGTACCTACTGTATATGATGTGTCTGACTCGTTCTGAATAGATCGCAGTTAATAGAGAAGTCGTCTAATGGCTCTAAAGACTCAGATGTATTTATGTTCACAGCTTAAAGAAATGTTTAATTATCATTTCCTTTTTCTATCTTCCATCCTATTTCTCATTTCTTGACATCATCATGTAGTTGATCTAGGCAGGCATGGCGGAGTTTGTATTTTTTCAGCTTTCGCTTACCTTAACTCCTCCCAATCCAATCAAAAAGTCAGGAAAGAAGAAAGAGAGTGAAAAAATTATGGAAAAGAATGAGAGATGAGGGATATCTAAAAGCATAATTGGACCCACCCCTTTTAAGTTAGTTTGGAGCAACATCGTTCTAGAATGAGCACATTTTTTCTCACCAGCCTTGGTCTTTCTGCATAACTCAAACTCTGCACCACGTTCGTATCCACACTCGTCATTAATCATGACTTGCATCTGTATTTCCTTCAAAAATACCTGAAGAATTCGTATCTATTAGCAATTTTTCTCGGTTTACTGATTCTCATGTCAATTCTTGATGTGTTTAGCATTATGCAGAACGTTGTATAAATAACCCATGTGTATATCCTATTAGTTCTCAACCCTTGCACATTATGAATTTTGAATTCTTGGAAAGTCATACCTATTATAGTCAGCATGCTTTTGCTGCCGTTATGAGCTCGTTCACTAATCTTCGACGTCGTTATTTTGATGTCTAGGAATCTAAACGTGTTCCAATTTTAGAATCTCTATCTATAAAATGAAGTTCATCTGCATTATGTTTTTCTTTCTACAAGTAATTGCTATAACTTTGGCTGCTCCTCCACAGTCGATGACTCGTATACAGGTCAGTTGTCTTTGACGTCTTCTATTCTTGTTTTCTTAAAAGCCGGCGACATAATATGAATTAAGTTTATCAAAAATAGAAGAAGAACCATTTTATGCTAATCAAACTTCATGGTCATCAAAATGCTTTATTTGCTTTTCTTTCGAATAACATCATGGCACTCGAAGTAAAAATAGATGAAGACGTAGAGATGCTTCATGAGTTCTTATTATTAATGTACCATTGATATACTTATACAGGGGAGAGTGGGAAGTACGAATCCTACATCTCCTGCCTGGATGAATACGAAGATGAAATAAACCATTTGATACAATACAATCGAAAATTCAATTTGCAACCCCCTCGTTCAACATAAATAATATATCTCGAAGTTTTAAATGGATTAGAAATCGTTCGACATATTCTCAAACAGTTGTCTAATGATGACATCATAAATCGATTAAAAAACACTTTGGTCTTAGTTCCTTCATGCTTCAAATTAAATTCTCCGAGCTAAAAATGTATATTTCATGTGATTTAGTGTGCTTTAGAATAGTTGAATGAAACCCGCTTCAATAAATTTCTAATCCGGAGGTCCCCCCCTTCCCCTCTCTTAGTTTTCTGATTCACAGAAGTGTTTATTGTACTTTTATGACGGAACACAAAGAAAATTGTTTTATATTATATATATACTCGAGCTTTTTAGGAAATGATACGCACCCTCTTGCCTCCAGCAACTGTTGAACTTCGTGGAAAGAAGTATATGCTAGAACCTATATGGAACCTACAACAAGAACAATTCTAAATACATCGTAATCGCCCCGTCTCTTTTTCTCGTCTGTACTTATAGAAAAAGATTTCTTGAAAATAAATATAAAGGATAACTAATAAAAATGTTTGGATACCAGTGAAAATCAGAATAAGCAAACTTAGGAACAATAGGAGGAAAAAACGGAATGGCTGCCAAACCAAATAAAGGGCCTTCGACGTCCAAGTACGTCGTATAAGATGAAGCGCCAGAATTTCCACAACATCTTGAACTTTCTCGAGAGAATTAAAAAGAAAAAACAATCCTCCGCATTCTATATCTCGTCATAAGTTCAATTGAGTTTACTCGAGACAAGAACATTGAAAGTATTGTTCGAGAGATGTTGGATTTCGCAAGAGTTTCCTACCTAATCAGGGCTGCACACCTTAAGCATCTGCATTTCCGGGAACACCTCTCTTGCTAACGGAATGATTTTTCATCATCTCTGGTTCTCATGCACGACGAACATGCCACACGTGTCAACGTTCTCGGCTGTTGAGCTCTTCTCTAAATGGTGGCAAGTAATGGGACGCACGCTGATGTAGCAGGCAGGATGGGCGAAAAATTAAAATTCAATTCTGCGAAGAAAAGAATTTTGCTTTCGAAATCAGATTTTATTTTGATATTTCTGATTGTTTAGTTTGGGAATTTTATTCAGCTTCAACATTTTACATTAAGTTTCTCGAGGTGGGCAGGGCATCGAACTCCTTCCCCCCACCTAATATTTAGGTATAACAACAAACGAACGTTATAATAAGGTTCCTCGTTTTCTGCTTGCTCCTTCTCCGCTTGCTTCTTTACCCAACATTCGATTCTTAATCATTCCTTTCCGTTTTAATGCTTCTTGAACAATACGAGCATTCATAGAATATGATTCTGCCGTCTCTCTCTATAAAGCACAACTTCAATAACACCAACAATAACGCAAAAACATACAGCTTCGATTTCATCCTCTTCTTCACCTTCCATTGTGGATACTGTGACTGAACCCACTTTACCCTGATTTTTTACATTCCTCTTCATAATAACCTACAAATTCGAAATGCACAATCGAGAAGCAGCTGTGCTATCAAACCTTCTTAGCTCTTTGTTCTTCGTTGTTACCACTGAATCCTCCCACTTCTTTAGCCGATAACAAAGCTTGGTCAAAAATGAATGTTAACTTCAAATTGGAGGGATGTTGATAAAAGAGCGGCACACTACATTTTGTGCAATTTTTTCTATATTGTTGCTCCAAGCCCTCGTGTCTGAAGGATATAGAAAATATTAGATGCAAGAAGTGAATTAACATACCTCTTTACATAAACTGTTTCTCCCACAACTTTGAATGTTTTAGCCGTTGTACGTGCCGGATCTATGACGCGAGAACGATCCCGTTTTCTCTGTGGCATTCTACTCATAACGCAATCGCTAATCATAGCCATCTAGGACAGAGACATTTAACAGCGATCAAAAAGCAAAATTAATACCTGACCACACGTACAGTAGTAAGTATATAAGGGCTTAACGAAATACTCTTCCCTGTCTTCAACATCAACAATTTTTCCCTCGCCCTGGAACAGTAAACTTAGTCAATTGGGCATAAACAAGGAAGATACATGTTTGTCATCTTCCACATGAGCAACTTCTTGAGCTCCGTCATCTTCTAACACATTGCGAGCCATGTTATCTAAAAAGTTTCGAAATATACAATTATGAATGCTAACCAAAAGAGGAAGAGCTATAGAATCAAGCGAAGTACGCAAAGATATCGTGTAAATGTCACTACCGTATTGAGATTTGTGGTAATAATAATCTCAGTTAGTAATGTGTTAAGGAGCTATGAGTCGATATACGTGACGAGTATGCTAATCACTGTGGCGTCTTTTACTTCATTTCGAAAACAAAGGTCGGACAGAGCGGTTGCATTCGAAGGGAAAAGAAGAAGAGCTTGACATATGAAACGGAGTTTTGCTTTTCTTGTCTGATATTCCGTATGTTGATTCGATTTATAATTTGAATAAGGTTTTTTCATTGGATTAAATTATTTAATTATTTAACAAACAAGGCTATAAATAAAAGACCCTTCAATACTACGAAAATGGGCTCTCAGATTCGTCACGACCAAAACACAATTTCCATGCATACAGTAATAGAAATGATTTAATTCTGCGCAATGCTTACAACCAAACATACAACCAAGGATTATTGTTTTTTGTTTAAGAACATGAAGTGCTTACCATTCAGTTCACTTTTGCAATTCGATATCCAGCCCACCACGCATGTGAGAATTTCCTTAATTATGCAACACCTTTGTTACTTATTGTGGGGTATTAAATAAAGGTCATTGTATGAAAAAATGAAACTTGAGCATCGAATAATCCCATTCGAACCAACTTCCCGTCATGTGGGACATATTTGTGACATCTGGGCAGAATAATTATACTAAACATTCGTAAAATCAATGCTTCAGCGAGAAGCGAATGCTGAGTGAGCGGATGGCTCACCGAAGCCTCATGGGAACCTCGGAAGATTTTGTTAAAACTTGTAACATTACTGCTATCAGCATATCCCATCTTGCTATGTATTCATTGTACCTTTTATGATTGCTCAATGCATGTAGAACTTGAATCATAGCTGACCATCTGCTCCGCAATCTATCGTTTTCGCTTTGATTGAACCTAACGGAATAATTCTGACACTTGCCATCTGCTCTTATACTGCCTAGCCTTCTTCACCGGCATTGTTAGCTACGTTGTTACATTTCTACGTTGTCTGTCCATATACTTGTCGCTCTAATCTGGGCATCTTCGTAAAATATTCACAAAGCGGGTCATTTGTCTTCTTCTCCAAAACTTTTGCCATTCTTTTTACGGCTTAGTAAGGGTCACGACTGCCGGCGATCCTCGTTTTCTTTTCGTTTACTGAAACTGTTGTTTGTTCAATTTTATATTTCATTTCAGAGTAATGCTATTGCTCAATAAATAATGCTGAGACCTCAGAACAATAGAGTTTACGTGGTGCCAATATGCTTCACCCGAAGGTTCCTCCTTTTCTCTTTGCTGCTAGTAGGAGTGCCAGCATTTTATTATATCGTTTGTAAGTTCAGTAAACATTTGCAATTGAAATACTTCTGGTTCAGCAAACACTGCCAGTGATAATGGATATACTGAAAGTGTCGCCTCTACTAGGTGAGATTTGGGAGAATAGTAATGAGACTACAAATGATATGCCTAGATACTCAATTGAAGAAATGCAAGGGTTCGCATTCAAGAACAGTGTGTACACCAACTTTCGTCCTTCATACTATACGCGCTGGGATTTCTCATTCAATCAAATTCTTAATAACCCTGTGAAAAAGTATGTTTGAGATATGACGAGGGGTGATGTAATTGAATTGCAGGTTCAATATCACCAAGACTGACGTGATTGTTTTCCTTCATATCCAGAAAACAGCAGGAACTTCTTTTGAGAAGTACCTAGTGCGGTATCTAGAATTGGAAAAACCCTGCAAATGTAGCAAAGGTAGGAAACGATGCACTTGTCGGAGGCCTAACAATCAGAAAGAGGTATAGAAAGTATCCAAACAATTTCAAAAACTTCTATTTTTAAGATTTGGCTGTTTTCCCGTTATTCAACAGGGTGGGATTGTGGGTTGCATGCTGACTTCACTGAATTATATGTTAGTGGTTGTGTTGACGCATCTCTCGACAAAAAAGAAGGTTCTAAAATCCATAATGCATGCAATCAACTTCTAAATAGGTTCACATAAGAAACGAAGGTACTTCTATACATCTTTCCTGAGGGAGCCCATTTCCCGCTTCATCTCTGAATACCGTCACGTCAATAGAGGAGCGACTTGGATAGCTTCAAGGCAAATCGATAAATTCGACTCAACTTTCTTATTTCTCCTTGTTCAGACATGTTTGTAACGGTCGTCCACCAACTCCAGATGAGTTGCCTCTGTGCTTTGATCCTCAAACTGGATGGGATGATGTTTCTTTGGACGAATTCTTGCATTGTCCCTATAATTTAGCATTCAATAGGTGAGATATTGATAGTTCAACCGCTCTAGAGTTTGTCCATGACAAAATGACGCTGCTTGAAATATGGAAATCATGAGAGTCAGAATTATGCAAATGCAAATTTCATACATACATAGTCATAGTACCTTGTTCCAGGCAAACTCGAATGCTAGCTGATCTCACTCTAGTGAACTGCTATTCACGCACAGACATGACGCAAGATATCAGGGAAAAGATTATGCTAGAGAGTGCGAAGAATAACTTGCGTAAGCTAGCATACTTCGGATTGAAGGAGAAAATGGATGATAGCCAATACATGTTCGAGAAGCTTTTTGGATTAACGTACTGAATATTAATATGTCGGGCATTGCTATATTACGAATTTCAGGTTTACCAAACAACTCTCGGAGTGGTCTAAAAGTAAATCAAACGACACCGTTATAACTGAGAATCAGTTAAAGTTAATTAAAGAGAGGAATCATCTGGACATAGCCCTCTATGAGTATGCTGTTAAGCTTTTTGAAAGCAGAATGTCAATGATTCGGAATAAGAGCATGGTGAGTGTCAGTGTCCCACACTTACTTAACATTCGTTTAGGATACGCCCGATGTGACTCGAAAACTAGGAGTGAAAGAAGAGACTTCTGAGTCGTTCTACTTTCTTAGGGATAAAGAAGCACCTGAACAAGAGTTTAGCTCTTTCATGAAGTCTAACAATACTGTCCAATATGACGCTAACACAGATTCGTACGAAATCGATGACTCTTCAGGTGCTGATAGAAACGAAAACGTTTTATTTAAACGGGTGTGAACAGTTTTCGTGTATTTTCATAATATGTTACGTGTTGACGGGTTATATTTTGTTTTTAAATGTGTGTGCACTAGTCTTCAATTTGGTCATGTCTCATCTTCTTTTACGAAGTAAATTTTTCTTTTCCGTTTTCCTCATTGATCTTTGCGGAACACGAGCATGTGATTGTTGGCAGGCATACCATGTGTAGCTAGTAACCTCAAACCAGAAGCAGACGCCATCTGAAATTTATAAAAACGTAATGGGAATTCGCGTTATACAGTTTCACTTCACTAAGCATATTCACATCACGCAGACCCCATTCAGGATTTTGTTGGCGCAAACCAGCATCGAAGCGTACATTACTTTCCGGAGTAATAAGGCCATCCTGGGCATACGGACCGTATGTGATGAGCAAACCACCGTTTGGTTTCAGAAGTTCACCACTGGACTATAAGATACTTGAGAATTAGATGACATCGATAACATACCTTGAATAATCCTCCTACAGCTTCGTTACTACTAATATGAATCATATTGATATTGAGTACCACATCGACCTGACAGAAAGAACATCACAAAAAATAGCTTATGAAGGCCAACTTCCGAAGGACGAAAATCTTCTGGTAAAATCCATCTATCCAATGACTTACTGACATCTACGAACAAAGGAACACGAACATTTGGGAGCTAAATATCACGTTTCAAACACAAAACAAATTCTCAGATACCTTAGCATTATCCATATGAGCCACAACACTATGTAAGCTTCGTGGGTCACACTCTGAAGGCTGCCATGTAGTGTGAGGAAACCTTTTCGCGAATTCTATGCAGTGTTGTCCTGTCCCAGAAGCAAATTCGAGCACCTGTTATCAGTTATCTCAATAGCAAATTAGAAAACACTTACCTTTGAGCCTGATGTAAGGTAGCGCTCCAATATATCACCTATAGGACCCACATTCCGTTCAGCCGCAGCAGCTCGTAACATATCTTTCAAAGTATCTCCAAACAATGCCTAGTAACACGCGTTTATGGGTGGAGTATACTTTCGTGTTAGGATCAATAACACCATGATGCTGATACCAGTTTTAGAGACCATGTTCATGTCCCTCTGTTACATAAAACAGCCACATGTAACGGAACTTCAGACCCACTACTGATTCTATCCTTATCAGCGCCGCCATTTTCTTTTCCAAATACAAAAAATTAAAAAGGCCACACCTAGCCTTGTTAGCAATCACACCCCATTCCCAAGCTCTGACGCATGATTAGCATCGCATTAACATTCTTTTGGGTATTTCAAGAGGTCAGAACTCAACAATTGTTTTCCGCTTTCATAATACTGTGTTTTAGAAGTCTCAACAAATCCATTATATTTATTGGATGATTAACAACAACAACAGGCTTATTCCTTAAGGTCACGAAGACGGCGAATAGTGGACCTGATGGTAGCAGCAGCAACAGTTCCGTAAACGTAAGCTCCTCCAGCAACGGTCTATAACAGAATAGTTAAAAATGTTAACATGGTATTTCACTGACCTTGTGGCACTTGGAGCAGTCCCAGATACCAACAGCCTTTCTGCGCATGGCTTCCTTACCACAGAATGGGCAGGTGTAACGGGAGTGTTGAGTGACTTCCATCTTCTTGATCATTTTACGGAGAGAAGCTCCATATCTGGTGCCGTACTTTCCGACAATACCAACCTTCTTGGTGCGCTTGGCCATGTTATACCCTAAAAGAAGACAGTACTGCAAATTTCTAAAACATAATTGAAGGTATATACAGTCAAGGACTGGTGCAAGCAATGTCCAAAGTATAAAACGATGATTTAATCATTCAAGAATGCAAATCACAAGCATGAGGTGGGCCAAATTAGTTCTTCTCGACGATGATGGCTTCCTTGATCAACAATAAAGTTGGGACTTCAGTTCCGTCTTCATCTCTGTACTCAATGATGGCGACCTGTCCACCTTCAGCTCCTTCAGAGGCTTTCTCTCCTGAAACAACGTTGCTATGATGAATGATTGAACATAACAAACCGATGAAGAATTGGAGAGTTTTGAATCGGTCCTTGGCAAGGAGACTGACAACCCATTTTTGGATCTTGGTCTTGAAGGCAGTGACATCCTCAGCTGGCTTTCCTTCCTTCTCCATATGCTCGATGACTTTCTTCATGAAACCCTTGATGTAAGACTTGAACATGGAGGCATCTTCATAAATGTTCATCTCCTGAATAGTATTCATTAGAATCGTATCACTAATTGAGCATAGAACAAAGCACATTTCAACTACATAGAGCAATACATCAAACTAACCTACCACAAGTTTGTGGTTAAGGACGATATCAATACCGCGCTCAACGTGCTCGTCGGAACCCTCATCTTCCTCTTCAGCAGATGGGTTGGCTCCGGCCAAAACGATGTCACCCTCCTTACGAACAACATGCTTTCCTTTGAACTCGTAGACGAGATCGTCTACAAGCTTCATTGGGAAGGAATCGGATGAGAGTTCATCTCCTGAAATATAAATGGTTAAGATGAAGGAGTCTCAAATTAATTAAAAAACCTGCAATAAGCTAAACCAATCAATTCAATTTATCACCGTTGATTCACCATGTTGCAACTCATCTGAACATCATTGAGGATACAAGACGACCCAAACTACAGAACGTAGATTAGGCAATCCACATAACCCTAGATGAACAAACATGCAACACAGTTTAAGGACAGTGATAAGTTAAAGCTCATTACATAAACAATCCTTACCTGTGAAAGCGTCGATAAAGATCAGCATTTTCAGCTCTTCCCAAAAGCAAGTTGCTAAAACAAAGAGGTTAAGAAAACACAATTGAAAAAAATGAGCAAGTATGAACTCGTGTAAACGAGAGCATGATCAGTAGGTAATAAACAACAACAATTTACTTCTCGCAAGAGATAACATCCAAGAGAAAATCAAATTAGTCGAACAAGTTCATTCCCATGCTGTCGTCAGAATCCTCCTCTGGCTCATCAGCCTTAGCTGGGGCAGCAGCAGTTGTGGTAGCGGCAGCAGCAGCTGGAGCAGCAGCGGCAGCGAAGGCACTTGGGTCAGCAAGGTAAGCCTTGAGCTTCTCAGCCTCTTTGAAGGTGACGTCTGTAACAGCAGCAACTCCGAGCATGTTTTGGACTCCAGTAGCGATAGAGTGGGCAACGGAGACGAGAGTTGGGTATTTGATGGCGAGAGAGACGGAAGCAACGTTGCGAACTCCAGCCATGAAACGGTTGCGGAGCTCCTCGGTGGTCATGTCAAGAACCTCTGGTGAGTACAAGGTTCCGTTGTCGTAAACTTGAAGGACAACCAATCCGTATGAGAAAGGAGTGATTCCCAACATGTTAAGAAGAGCAGCTTCGGAAGCTCCGACCTTCTCTCCCTCCTTGATGAGGTGGACTTCATTGAGGATTTCAATGGTACCACGAGCAATCTTGGTTGGGATTTGAAGAGCTTGGAAGAAAGAAGTCTTTTCTGGTCCCATTCCGGTGTTTTGGGGTGGGAGCTTGACATCACAAGGAGCGATAGCTCCGGCCTTAGCTGGGGCTCCCTTTAATAATAATAATAAAAATAGACATGATAATTAAAAACATACTCTCTTGTTCTCCAAAAGCTTGGAGCGAACATCAGAAAGATCTTCCTTGGTGAAGACGAATCCAACGTTCTGGACGATGAAAGGAAGGATTCTCTCAAGAGCTGGGTTCTTGTTGAGATGTCCACGGATAGCCTTGCGGATCATGGTGTTCTTTCCCATAAGAATAGCAGCGCTTCCTATACAGTACACGTAATAACAAAATACTTGAATAAACACACTAACCTCTCATGGCTTGACGGATCTCTTGCATTTGCTTGGATCCGACATTGTCGACTCCTACGATGAAGCACTTGGGGTACTCCTCGAAAAGTTCTACCAACTTAAGGAAGTAGTTAGCCTTCCATGTAGATCTGTCTTCCCTAACCATCGTGGTGTGTTAAGGATCGCTTAACGTTTTAAAGACAACCCTTAAAAAAACATGTTTAAGTAACAATAATTATGACAGAACGAGAAATTGAGAAAGGTAAAGCACAAATAATACAATTAAATCTCAATATCAAAAAACACAATAGTCTGTTGGCCGTTCCACAAATTTAGGATAAGAGAATCTTATAATACTGTTGTTGAAGGTCTAGGTCGCGTGGATACTCAGCGCCAGCACGTTTTGAGTCGATGCGCAGTTTGGATCTGCCTGGCGTGTCTTTAGTGCAGGCGCATAAAGGACGAGGACAAATTAGAGAGTAATAGTCTTGAAGCGCTTTTGGAATTTGAATAAAACATTTCACGTAAGAGTAGATGATAGTTTTATCTTTACAGTTCTCATCTATAATTCTGTATTGATTATTCAGTGGAGAAATGTTCACTTGTAAGATACGACCCTTGTTATCTTAGCATAATTGTTTAGAGGAAGATGCTTAAGATTCTTACAGTCGCATTGTACATTGATTGAACTTTGGTAAATAAAGATGATTATCATGAAATTCTCTGTTTCAAAACATCCAATCATATATACGCAGTTGTGTGAACTCTTTATACTATGTGGAGCTTACGAGAGTACAACCGGTCTTGCGTCTTGCCATTGTAGAAATGAAAACGGGTGAACAAGTGCCCCACGGGAAGTCCTGCACTTTGCAAACGTGATAGATATGACATATTATGACTTCAGCGACCAAAACCTTCTTCATTGTTTAACTTTTAAATTGATAACATATAGCGATCTAAGTATGGTAAGAAAAAAGCTGCAGCGAGGAAAACATGTATAACAAACAAAGTTCTCCTTTCGAGCTTGACTAGGTTTGGTTGCCTGTATCGGGTTTTATGTGTCATATTGTCGTTTCTTATCAGGTTTTCTGGTGCCAGCAGTTTCATTTGTAACTGCTCTAGGCGTATGGCTTTTGAATTGGTGAGTTTTCTCATTTTTTTGAAATATACATACAGACGTGATTGTTTTTAAGAATATTTCTTCTGTGCTTATAATCTCTTCATTTATTTCTTATTTACTTTTCAACACCTTGTTTCTCATAGCTCAACAATGGTGGGCATTCGCTATGCTAGTTACATGTAAGTGTTTCAAATTCATTTAAAATCATCCTTGGTCCTATTGAAGCAATATGCTATATACCATTCTTGTATTCGGATTCTAAAGGAAATCGAAAGAATCTCGCTGCTTGGCTAATGATTCACGTACGTTCATTCAAATGCTAAGAGTAGGCGTATGGGTTATTTCAGTTCATCTGCATGTGCGTACAAGCAGGCTGGACGATATTCTTCTTTGTCGAAATTTTCGCGAACAACAGTATCATTGTGCAGAAATGGTTGAAGTCCTATTTAAAGGATACCACCAACAAAGCAGATGGTAAGACTGTCGGTTAAGTTCAGCATTTGCTCAATCTTGTTTCAGTTGCCCGATATGCAAGTATTGCCATGTGTGTTGATGGTCTGATCACCTTCATCATCATGCTTCTCTGTGGAATAGTAGTAATTAGTAAACTAATGTAAGTTTTCTTTCAACCGTATATTAATCACTTTTCCGTATCATTGCAAACTTTTGGCCTGTTCAGTTCATTTATTGCTATGATTAAATATGATAAAGGGAGTGTACAGAGGAAATAGTTAAGAGATGATTCGAGCATTATTTTCCAATCCTTTCTGAGACTGGTTATTAAGTATTAATGATTCACGAAGGAATTCCTTTCCTTGGGAAAAGACGTTTAAGTGACGTTTCGATTTTAGGGCTCACGACGAAGAATCTGAAATGTCTTCCCTACCATCTCGGAGCGAAACTTTGGCTGTTAGACTCGATAATGATCTCTTGAAGATGTAAGTTCGCTTTCCTGAATCCTGATTGTATTGTGAAATACTAAATTCACTTCCAGAGATTCTGGATTGCCACGTCTCCGTGCTACTCCTGATGGTAACGTATCCGGTATTCCAACAACCGGAGGAGCACATTCTGTGTGGTCTAGACCATCGATATTCCAATCAGAACGGCTATAAAGCTATTAATTGTTATAAATACACAAATATAAATATGTTATCCATGAATGAAAAACTCCATATAATTGTTTACAAAGTTGTAATGAAAGATTAAGGTACCAATATTTGTGCTGACAGCCCCCAACGATTGACACCATAATCATCAAACATGAATTACGCTACCACAACGAAATAGGAACCTCGCAGCTTTATTCCCAACTCCCCTATCTTTTCACCTTCTCGGGGTTCTTGTACACGAGCGAAATCAAATCTTAATAAGAGTTGAATTCATGTAATTCGCGAACAAGTCATCAGAATTAATTTCTGATTTGATATTCGGAAGTTTCAGATCAGAATTAGTAAGATCACCAAGTTTCACAAAATTCGAAAAAAAAAGTTGTATTTCGATCAGTTTCGATCATTTGCCGAGATGGACTCTCCAACTCCTTACGGCTGAGTCGGACCCTAAGTTGGATGAGAGCCAGTAGTGACGTCACTGAATCATGGTGCTTCTGTATCTCAAAAACGAATGATCAGAATCAATTTCTGATTTGTTTTTCGGAAGTTTCAGATCAGAATTAGTAACCCCTCCGAATTTGACAAAATTGAAGAAAAAAAAATTTTTTTCGATCAGTTTTCAACTTTTGCCGAGATCGACTCTCCAACTCCTCACGGCTGAGTCGGACCCTAAGTTGGATGAGAGCCAGTAGTGACGTCACTGAATCTTCAACCTTCTGTATCTCCAGAACGACTCATCAGAATCAATTTCTGATTTGATATTTGGAAGTTTCAGACCAGAATTAGTAAGATCACCAAATTTTACAAAATTCGAAAAAAAAAGTTGTATTTCGATCAGTTTCGATCATTTGCCGAGATCGACTCTCCAACTCCTCACGGCTAAGTCGGACCCAAAGTTGGATGAGAGCCAAAAGTGATATAACTGAATCTTCAACCTTCTGTATCTCGAAAACGAATGATCATAAGCAATTTTTGATTCGATATTTGGAAGTTTCAGATCAGAATTAGTAACCCCTCCAAATTTGACAAAATTCTAGAAAAAAAAGTTTTTTTCGAGCAGTTTTCAACTTTTGCCGAGATCGACTCTCCAACTCCTCACGGCTGAGTCGGACCCTAAGTTGGATGAGAGCCAAAAGTGATATAACTGAATTTTCAAACTTCCGTATCTCGAAATCGAGTGATCAGAATCAATTTTCGATTTGGTTTCCTGACTTTTCCGGTCAGAACTAGTTATACTAGACTAATTTCGTAAAATTCTGAAAAAAAACTCATTTTTCTTGATCATTTTTCAAGACTCACTGACCTGGACCTTTACCATGTGGAAGATGAGTCCGGCTAAGAATTGGAGACGAGCCAAAACTGAAGCGATACTAAATTTGAACTCCTATGTCTTATTCATAAGACAGTATGGGAGGTTAAACTTTTTTAAACGTACTGTTTCAATTAGCCCGCCTGTCTAATTCGATGTCATTAGCTGTGAATTCATTTTTCGACCTAGGTTTTCGGCGAACTGTGATCTTCGCCCAAGATCATGATTTCGTTTGTTGCAGGATCAGAGCGTCAGTGAGTGATCGTTGAACTTACCCAACTTACTTAGGATAGTTGATTTGTACTTTCTGTTCAGGCTCGGTATCCGTACAACTTTCTGGTCTATCATCAGACCATTGGCTCCAGTTCACTTCAATTCCTTCCTAAAAACCGAGATGAAAATCTGAACGACTTTTCAAATTATCTGATTCAAACCAAATCTCGTCGGTACTGATAATTGGAGAAGAGTCTTTCATCTAAACTACATATCATCTTGTTTTTGCCTCAATTACTATCTGGAAAGCTCAAATCTCGATTCCCTCTCTGTTAATTCATAACGTGCTTTGTTGGTCATGGCGCCATGGGCATGAATCAAAAACTGCCTCTGATGTTATGTGTTTGTATGCTTTAACGAAGATAGGAAAAACAAAAAGAAAGGCAAGGGAGTTAAGCTACTAGCATTTTGGGATTTGATGATGAGTTCAACCTTATATTAATCGTCAAGTATGGAAGAATGCGAAAATCTGCTACAGCGCGATGTTTCAATTCGGGTCACATTAGCTTGGGATGACCAAATCTTATGATTTGAGCATGTGATGAACAACACAAAGACTCGAAAGTTGAAATACCAAACAAACATTTTTCTTTTCCTCTCACAACCATTACTTGACCTTCGAAATGACTCTCACTGGCCGCAATTCATATTTTGTGATTAATCCTCGCAACTGAGTGAGACCACAGACTGTCTTAATGGTGATGCTGGGTCATTTTGATTAGGAATTGGTGACTTCCCTTCTATAGTTCACGCCGAGATCACTGATAGAGAAAGCTTTTTGCAAGGATTCCATTACTCATCCAGATGATACCTGACAGCTCATGATCGTTGATTCCTATCTTCCGTGTATATTCATAGGAATAGATTTGTTACTTAGCTATAAAAACTACAGAGAGAACGAAATCTGAGAAACGAAACAGGTACTAGATGGGACGGTTACATTTTATTTTGGCTTGTAAACAGTAAAAGGCGCTGGTAATTGTTGCATCAATGTGGGTTAGTCCTCCCATTCTGCCTAATTCGTGCGCCAAGGTAGGATGTGCTAGCTGATATAGGATAGTTCCAGAGTAAGTTCTTCTCAATTTCTCCAAGGTATGTTTCTTCACTTTTTTCAATACAAAACTGTTCAGAGAAGTTCGTAATTCGATTTCTATAGTAAGCATCGCGATGTCATTATCTAAGACGATGTCGCCAATCCAGCTAGCTATACGTGAAAGGGAAAAACATGTAATGTACCGCAGGTGAGATGTTCCTAGAGGTCAGGAAGTATGAGACGTTTTTTAAAAAAGAATCCATACTTTTCCATTAAGTTAGAAACTTGCAAATCTTCTTATTTCTTCATTTTTTTCTTCAAAAATAATATTTATCTACACTGTTTTTGTACACATGGATGAACTATGAGAAGTACGTATGTCATAGGTCCGACCAGATTATCCGAGAAGTCTGACAATGATCATTCTAAGAAAATGCGAGAGAAACATGTTTCTCGATTTTGCTTATCTTCCGTATTTAGTCATCAACGCAAACCCCGCCCTCCGTTCTGTGCGAAGCCTTTAGGGCTGTTTATCATCATCATATACGATCAAGCACAACAAGCTATTCATTGCCTCTACCCTTTGCTTTGTTCAGATAGCCATTCTCATTCTAGAAGAAGTGAATTCAAATCGTCTTCAAGAAAATCGAAACAGACCAGATTTCACGTTTCTTATGTAATTGATTATAATAATTGATATTTCCATTTACGTAGTTGAATTTGAATATCTCTCCTTAACAGTTTTCACTTCATCACTGTTTTTACTTTCTCTCTCCATATATGAAACATCTTAACGCTTCGCCAAGATTATTCTCTCATCTCCTGTTCAAAGCTTGTAGACAATTATTCCGTACGTGGGAAACGTTTGTCTGGCTTTCTTTGTTCGAACTTGGAGATTGCAAAGATTAGAAACTTTAATTCTAATGACTTTCATCCAGATTAGCCCAGCGGACAATTGTCAGCTTACCGAACATCCGCTCTGCTTAAGATTTCTTCCTCAGATAGTCTCTCCAGGTTATTAACAGGGTGAAAGTGCTGAATGACAGCTAGCATGAGTAGCCTATCTAACTGTTTACAAACCCTATTACCCGATAAGCTGATTTGTAATGATGAAGCAAATGCGCGAAACTTGTTATTAGCTAGTAATCTTTAATTCCAATCGCCAGAAAGGTATTATCTGCTTCCGAAAGCTCAAGCTTTCTCGAGTTTGCATTCTTCTAGTCTATCCGGTTCTTAACGTGTGGCGATTAGGTTTTTCTTCTTCATCATTAGTCATTCTTTATTCCTTTGATCCCGAGAGTTTCAAATATAATTCATGCGCTTCTCATTATTGATTTGCTTACCCAATCTCTAATCACACATTCAGATATTGTAAGAAGCTAACCATGCTGAGTATATCTTCAGTGGTACTCTTACTTTTCCTAGCAGCTGCATTAACGGTGGGTCAAGACATAAAAATGGCAATATAACTCTCTTTAGACGGCCAAGAACGTATATACCGGATCTGTCTCTATCGGCTTTGATGAAATAAAGGTTGTTCTATTCTTATGCTATATAGAAATAAGATTTTCTTTAGTCTTTGGGAGATAACTCGCGCATGCTTACCAGTTCCCGAGAGGGTGAGTGTAATAGATATCGTCTTCCCCAACTAGAAAAAAATATTCGGAATAGCCAATGTTCTTTAACCATTTATAACTATACTAATTAGAAATGTGAAAAGAAAGTTAACAACGTTTTCTCCACTGAATCGCGGTAGTTTTTGCAATAATGAATCATCCTCCGTGGAGAACAGTTCCGACGTCACTTAACCTCCACTTTTCAGATGCTGGGTTGGCGACTATATTCCCCATTCCGAAACAGGAGAGAAGACACCCCGTAAGTATATAATTTCCGCCCGAAGATTTAAAAGGATCATTAAGGTATCAGCTGTACAAAGAACAGTTCCTACAGCTTCTATGCAACATCCTATCAAGATTAATGGTCTTTCAGAAACTTCTGAAAACCGTTTCGAGTCTAGCAAGGAGCCTAGAAGCAAGGAAGAGCTAGAAATGATAAATGACTTAGAAAGAGTCCAGAAACTGAAGCAACGACAGAAGGAACTCAGGAAGCATTTGGAGGAACAAGAAAGCCGTCGATTAGACGCTATTAGAAAGCGGGTTGAAACGCATCAGAAAATGGAAGAAGAACGTCGTCGATTGCTTGCACTGCAACACCAGCGAAATAGTGAACGAGCAGAACAAGAAAAGGAATATCAAAGGCAGTTAGCGTCTGAGAGACTGCGCATGAATGAGGAACTTCGTTTACAAGAAGAAGAGCGCCAAAGACTAGAAAACGAAAAACAGCTCATGGAACAAGAGCTCCACAAGCAAAAATATATTGAAGAACAACGACGACAAGCTGAAGAAGAAAGAAGAATTCAATTGGAAAACGAACGTGCAGAGGAGGAAAAACGACGTGCGGAAGAGGAAGCTAGACGCCAACGCACTGAGGAAGAGTTACGCAGACACTTGGAGGAAGAACGCAGACATCGCCTGGCTGAAGAGTACAGACGTAAGAAGAATGAAGAAAACATGAAAGAGGAGTTGAGAAGACGTGAGCAGGCTGAAAGACAGAAGCTCGCCGAAGCCAAGAGACAAACTGAGGAGCTCCGCCAGGAAGCTGAAAAGGAGAGGAAACGTATAGTTGCAGAAGAAAACCGGAAACAAGTAGAAGAACGTAATCGTATGCTCGAAGAGATGGAAAAAATAGCCAACGAACGTATGAAAATAGAACAGGAGAAAAGACATCTCGAAGAAGAACGTAAACAGCTGGAAGAACTTTTGCAACAGAAAGAAGAACAAAGGAGGAAGCTGGATAAGCTCAGCGTATATGC